ATAAATTGTGCAAGAATATTCTAAAATAATAACATTACTTAATCGGTTCATTTGTTTTTACTAGCCTTTATCGACTACTTCCACCTGAACAGTTGTTTGTTTAATCATGCTGTTTTTCATTATTCGTATTATCACAGATCGCCTCACTTTTTCATCCTTATTATTGATAAGACCATTTTTATTATTACTATTATTATAATCATCATTATCACTATTATGACTAATTGCACAATTTATATTAACCATCGTATTATCCTATAGAAAAAACACCATGATTGGTTTAAATTTGAATTTTTATTTGTAAACTTATATATATTAGAGTTAAGCCTGATGAGATCTAATTGAAAACAATATTGTTCGCTTAAATGTGTTGTTCTGAATTTGATTGAGTCGGTGGCACAGTGGTTAGGACTCTCGCCGACCATGCACATGGTGCGGGGTTCGATCCCCTGCCGGCGCACACCCGATATCTATGGTCGGCCTGCAAAATTTGGGCTACCGATATCCATGCTGAAAATTCCACACTTGTACTGAAAATACGGTGTGGAATCAAGCTGTAAATCAAAATAAACAAAAATACAAAATAAATAAACGACTGTTAAAAGTCAATCTGAACGAAGAATATACTTTTCAATAATTTCTCTTCAGGTTCTTACAATTATAAAGTATTATAATATTTGTTGTCGTTACAATAATGATAGCCAGTTATGCGGCGGATACATTTTTTTACGTAGAATAACAGATTAGTGTTATGGGGTGTCAAAATAAATAGTCGTATTTGTGTGACAAACGTGCTGGGCTGAATTCGATTACAAAATATTGTAAAATGGGAGACAATGGTGGTGATTAGTCATAATAGATTTGTAGAGTGCGGGGTAAGAAAATTGACCAGTCAGTTCAAGGTTATGAACACAGACCACTTTGTACTAGCCACTCACCTGACACCTTTTTATAACCTGGAACTGACTTGTCAATTTTCCTACCCCGCACTCTACAAACCTATTATGACTAATCACCACCATTGTCTCCCATTTTACAATATTTTGTAATCGAATTCAGCCCAGCACGTTTGTCACTCAAATACGACTATTTATTTTGACACCCCATAACACTAATCTGTTATTCTACGTAAAAAAATGTATCCGCCGCATAACTGGCTATCATTATTGTAACGACAACAAATATTATAATACTTTATAATTGTAAGAACCTGAAGAGAAATTATTGAAAAGTATATTCTTCGTTCAGATTGACTTTTAATTCATAATATGGGAATTTTCCACACTATCAAATCTTATAAATGACTGTTGTTTATGTGTGAGAAGAATTTCTCAATATCATTCTTTTTCACTATTAACTAACGTGTCATCTACATTTTATTGGTGACCTGAGTGGTTTAAGTGCATTCCCTTCCCCAAAATCCATCAGCTATTATTGGTGAGATGGGCGATCCCATAGCTACTCCTCCTTCATTTTGTTGGTATATTTTTTTACTTCAAATGTAAAATATGTTATTGTTGTTAGGCGGAATTCAATCCCTTTTATTATCTCTTCTGAGGATAATTTTGTCCTGCCTTTTGCAATCATGGTCATTTGAATGGGTACTTTAGTAAGGAGACTCTTTACATCACAGCTGACTAGAATTTCTTCTTCCTCTCTTTTAGTGTCTTTCAGTCGTCTCACTAATTGAAATGAATGTACTATTCTAGCTTTGAACTGTCTCTTGTTGGTCATAGTATTATAAGTACAAATCAGTAAAAGTGTGAATTAAAAAAAACACAATTCCAACAGTTGATGTGATCACTGGTAGTAAATTTTCCACGAAATATTACCAAAAACAAAAACTTATTATTGTGTGTAAACTATTGAAATATAATTATAATTTATTTGGTATACGTCAGGTATGAAAATACAATCATTCGCATAAATTTTGATGAAATTACTCATAATACAAGTGATGAATCCAACTTTTAGCCCTTTTAATATTCGAATTACGTAAAAAAAGAGTAAGAAACATTAGCCTACTTATAATTTTGTAAGTAGTTCAAAAAGTATTTTGAATAAAGAGAACGAACATATTTACAGGATAATATGAGCTCGTTCTATTTCATGGATTGTTTTCGTTAACTGCTCACATCCTAAACAAAATCGATTATAAGTTGCAACATTTCTGAACATACTACAATGACTTCAAGTTGTAGAGAGAGAGAGAGCATATGCAACATAATTCCAAAGATGATATAAGTAGACGAACTATTTAGTGCTAAAGGGGTAACTATTTATATTGGCCGTACTCAGAAGGCTTTATCCATGAACGCACGTGGATATGTACCTGAATGGTTGAGTAAAGGGGCAATCAAATAAGCCAACAGTGCAGTCTTCGCCCACATGGAAGATACTGGACACTCGATAAAACTTGACCAGGTGTTCTCAGTTATTTACCGTGTTCATGGTAATCTGTCGAGAGGAGCTCGATTACTTCTGCTCTTAGTAGCTGAAGCGGTTGCAGTCAATAGCAGAACACCGGCTGTTTGTATACAGCAGAAGTATGTTCAACCGCTATGTTTACCTTGGCCTACAATAAAGCCAACAAATCCTCTATAAACATTAGCACTTTAAATTCCTAGCACAATTTCTTTTCATTTCTTCTTCTTCTTGTATTCCTTTGTTTCATTGACAAACGTTCATTTCTGACCTTTTACAACTTCATGACCTTTCTTATGATGTCTATTACCTTCGATTTAATTAATGCTTTTCTCACTTGTTATCATATTCACAAAATCCTGTTCATTTCATTATTATTTGATAATCGTTCACTGGTAGTACTTTTAAGTTTACACTATATCATCGTCGTTATTTTACAATCATTATTAGTGACTTTTGAAATTTCGTCTAGTCTGTCCCATCTTTTGGTTTATTTTTCTGTGATATTCATATTGTCTCACACACCACTGATTACACTCACCCTCGAAACCTGTTGACCATTATTATTATTATTGTTTCCTTTAATTCCTAGACGAACATAAGGCTTCAGCCGTGCGTCTCCATTGCATTCGGTTCTCTGCTAGAGTCTTCACCTGCCTCCAAGTCTGCCCACACGTTTTCATCTCCTCTTCACATCACCTCCTCTAAGTCACCCTTGTACTAACGACCAACTCGCCGCTTCCCTTTCGGGTTCCACTCGAGTGATGGCTTGTCTAGTGATGTCACTTGATGGTTTCCTCAGAGTATGGCCAGCCAATCCATCTCCATTTCTTCCTTCCTATTTGTTTCACAATCGGTTCCTGCTGTGTTGGTTCGCTCCCAGAGATCCCACCCTGTTGCTGATCTTTTCTGGTCATCTTATCTTCAGTATTGAGCGAAGACAACTGTTAATGAAGGTCTGTAGTTTGTTTGAGATGCTCTTTAGGACGCGCTGGCCAAGTCTCTGATCTGTATAGTAGCAGTAGTATATATATCATTAAATTATTTCACCTCATTTTCCCATATGCTCATTGACTATACATATTTTAAACCATGATATAAAACTAACTGACTATTGTTCCATCCCATCCATCTTACTTATACTTGTTCCACAATACACATTTCTGATATGATTCTAATTTGCCTATACTGACTGGCCATTGTATGCTTAAATTAATAAATGGATTTATAATTGTAGAGACTGAAGAAGAATTTATTGAAACCACAATTGTTCGCTTTAACTATTTTATTTAGAACTATTCATGTCATGATTATTGAAGAGAGGGTAGAATTCAAATTTGGCTTGAAAACAAGCATATACTAGAGACAAAATATAAGACAGAACAACACAGTGAATTTATACATATTGTGAATGGAGAGTTCAGGAGGATGGCGGGGACTGGGGTGAATAGTGACGTAAAATTATAAAATAGATAAAGCAATTTTAATTTAGTAGATTTGTTACCTTAATAGTGAGTCGTTCAACTCAGTGAGTGAAAATCAAAATTCAAGATTAAGTGGAATATTATGCAACAGAACTATAAACATAACATAAATTAACTTTGTTGTGTTCCATCCTTGTTTCCAAGTGAAATCTAAACTCTATCACTTTGTCTTTATTATTATTATTATTATTATTATTATTATTATTATCTTTGAAATAAATATTTACTCCTTTTGTGATGAGAGCCGGCTGAAAGCCAAAATTGTAGACAACAACAAATTTACGAGTATGTTTAGGTCCCGAATCGGAATTATGAGAAAAAACAATAACAAACCACAACCTTGAGGAACTCACCAACCAATCACAGCAGACTAAATGTGTGCAAATACGATTCCCGGATATATGACTTAACTTTCTGAGAAACAGCAACAAAGAGATGACAGAATAACCTTCAGCAGGAAAACAACCAATCAGAAGACGTTACCTCTCTGCTAACAATAGCGCTAATAATAATGTACATAAAAGTCCATAAACGATCTGTTGCCTGGCCCTTGTCTTCTGTCGTTGCACTTTAACACTAAATAATTGTCTACTTACAATTATGTTGCCTACACTTTCTATCTATAACTTGAAGTCATTGTGAAAAAAAAAGAAATTTTGCAACTTATAATCGATTTTGTTTAGGATGTGAGCAGCTGAAGACGACAATCCATGAAATAAAACGAGCTCATATTATCCTGTAAATATGTTCATTCTTTCTTTATGCAAACTAATAAAGGGAACCAGTTGTATGAAATCCAAAAACTATCGTTTATTAGTGAATATTAGGTAGGTGGCGATGGCCTAGAAATGACAGAATTCCTCAGTTTTTTATAATAAATAAAGCCCCAACCCCCCCCCCCAACTCACAATGAGCTTTAGCAATCAATGAGAACGTAAAAAAAAGTGGTGGTGAAATATTTTAGAATTACACTGAGTAGAAACAGTTCACTCACATAACTAGTATACAAAAAAAGGGAGTTAGGGAGGCCAGTTTTAAAGAATTTATTGAACACTAGCAAAGGAAAAAAACAAACAACAGAAATAGGCTTACTTTAAAAACTGTTGCGAATGTACTCAGAATATCTAATATAATCATACTTGATTCAGTTGCCAAATTAGCTTTCAATAGCACCTTCATTTCTATATCAAACAAAAAGAAAGACAATAAATAAAATTTTAAAAAATGGAAAAGTTTAATTACAAGAACATTGAACAATCCTCATATATAGAATCAAAGTCTGATGATCTATACAACCAAATAGGAATCTTTAGTGTACCTATTATTATCATCGTTATTATTGCATTAATATTCTTCCCTTGGGTTCCGCGAAAAGAACATAGGGCTTCAAAGACACATCTCCATTCTGATCTATTCTCTGCGATTCTCTTCATCTGGGTTCACTATTTTTTCTATAATCTCTCATCTCCTCCTCGCCGCACGATCTCCTCCAATGTCATCCTTGATGTGCATCGGTGCGTCGGTGGCACGGCGGTTAGGACTCTCGCCGACCATGCACATGGTCCGGGGTTCAATCCCCTGCCGACGCACACCTGATATCTATGGTCGGCCTGCAAAATTTGGGCTACCGATATCCATGCTGAAAATTCCATACTTGTACCAAAAATACGGTGTGGAATCAAGCAACAATCAAAATACTTTAAAAAAAATATGTGACAACCCCCACTCGTCGTTTCCCATTCGAGTTCCACTCGAGTGATGGCCTACATTGAGCGCAATGTCATTCAACGGTCTACTCAACGTGTGCCATCCAATCCATCCCAATTTCGTTCTACATATTTCTGGATCAATAGATTCTAGATTGGTAAGTTCCACTAAAGAGTTTCTTGTTGCTGATTCCTTCTGGCCAGCCAGCAATTCGATCTTCAATATGGAACCAACGAAGGGGGTAGCTGTTGATAAACCTCTGCAATCGCCTGTTGGAAATGCTTTTCGTGAAGTGCTAGCCAAGTTTCTGACCCATATCGAACAGCTGACTAACGGACTGACTGACTTAACATTTATGTTGGAAATCCGAATCTTGTTCGTTGTGCTGGAGAGTGCAGAGGATTTTCAAACCGATTCCATAGTGATGAAGGTGTGACTTGCATTTCTGATTCTGTCTGGCTTTGACATCTTTATCCGTTCTGCCTGCCCTGTAGTCGAAATAATGATTTCTAGATAAGTGAAGGAAGTAATCTCTTTCAAATTCCTTTCGTTAATAGTGGTTGCAGCTGTTTATCGTTTCTGTTGGTCGGTTGGTTGATTATTTTCATCACCTCCGTCTTCTCTATGTTCACCTGCAGCTCTGTCTTCGCTGCCTACTTCCTCTGCCAGTTTGTTGGTTTCCGCCTACCTGCCTGCAAGTCTTCGAGTTTGTGTAACATAAGACATAAATCATCCATGCGCGAAATCCACATCTTTAAGAGTCTTCTTATCGGTGGTCCAACGTATTCCTTCCTGTCTTCTCAACCCCCACAGTCTAACGCATAATCCAGTGTCCACCATAATTAGGAGTATCATCGGTGATACTAAGCGGGAAGTCTTGTCTTACTCCTTTATTCACTTCGACAGTTTCACTGACTTTTCTGTTGTGAATCACCTGACACGTGCCACTGTCATCATATTGTCAGCTGTTGAATGAGGTTGATAAAGACTTGAGGTACGCCATAGTGTTGAAATAGCTTCTAAACCAATTCTCCATCAACGCTGCCTTTTCGAATTCGACGAAGTTGAGGTAGGAGGTTTGACTGCAATTCTATGTTTTTTTCGATAACGATGCGTAGACTTGCAATTTGATCAGCACATGATTTGCCTTTTCTCAATCCAGCTTGTTCCGGTCGGCGGATTTCTGCACCCAGTGCATCATCCAGTCTCCTGGATGAAGTGATGAAGAACTCAAACCTTATGACCGAATAAATAAATAACGAACCATTTTCTAGACCAAACAAGTTGCAACTCTACAGTTTGAAATTGTTAATTTTCTATCATTAAACTGTTAATTATCATTCAAGTTATTATCAAGTACTATCTTGTTTTATGAGTCGATGGTTCAGCGGTAGAACGCTCGTGAACCAAACGCCCCTAATATGGTCCACGGTTCAATCCCCAACAACGCGCGAACTCTTGAACATGACGAAGCTGGTAATTGGGCCTGTAGAGAGGGAAGAATGGGCGTGAGGCTAGTAACCCCACCCTGCGTACAAATAAAACCACTGCTACCGAGACTTCAAAGCTTTAGCTTGAGGCCCTATATTCCACTCAGAACGTTAAGATATATATGAGATTAAGATAAGGCTAGGAAATCTAGGCAGATATTCTGTGAAAAATCGGAGGTAAATTGTTTACAGGATAGAATAGAATATTAATTTAGCAATATTTACTTGGAATATCCTCTGCAGTCTGTCCAGAGAAATCATGAGAATTCTGCTTAGATGAATCATTCTGTAGACTTTTACCTACAGGAGTAGTTCTTCTACGAGCAGCAGCAGCAGCGGCAACAGTATTCCCAGCTAATGTATTGCTGATATTGAGCAGATTACCACCACCAATACCACCAGTTCGGCCAACACCACTACGACTTATATGTCTAAATTATATTGAACAAAATAAGAAATTACACATTATTTGTTCATTCATCGAAAGACAGGTAACATAATATATAGTGCAAGATATTGGGTTGTAACATTATATACCTCTAATTTCCTCTAATATTGAAATACCTACACTTCGCAGGTTAACCCAAGTCAAAGGCTAACACCGGTTTAAACCAATTGGCTACTGGGGTAATCAAGTCTGTATCAAATTGATGGGAAAACCACTAGAGCGTAACCTTATGCAACAAATAAAACTAGCTGTTTACCGGCATGGAGGAATCCTTCTTCTGCTTTCGTTCTTAGGGGCTATGGCGGAGGGGAGTTGGTGGGGACCGGAAGCAACTGGTACTTTATCGAGTGGCTTATTCCGCTTTGTATGGAAGCGAAATGGTATTATTATTAATGTTATTATTATATCATACAAATGTAAATAGAGTCATCTGCAGTCATCGACAAAGAATTATCGAGATCTCAGATATTTGTAGATAGTTAGGAAGTTGATCTCTGGAGAAATCTCAGCACGGATACAGAGGGATAGTTTCGCATATGCCAGTTTACGCCGTCTCTGGTTTAGTAGACGTGATAACCGGCTGGCCATCGACCAAAGAGCGTGTATACTGCTCAGCAGTTCGCTCTGTCCTCCTTTGTGGCTGTCAGTGAAACCTGGCCATTGAGAGTAGAGGACATGAAAAGGCTGTCTTTGATTCTGTGTGTCTGCGTTCTTTCTCCCGTGTGAAGTGGTATAGTTATAATAGAGAAGATTTGTAGCTCAGGTGGATGATTTTGGTGTGGTTGTGTTCTCTGAGCTGGATGGTTTGGTTGCGAAGCTTTCATTGCTCTACTGAGCAACATCTTCAGCGCATACTTCGATGTGAAGTGAGCTTTTAGAATTCTCTATGAGTTTATTAGTCATCTCTTCTAGTAACGTTGAACGTGATTGGTTGTTTTTGTGTGACTTCTCACTTTCTAATTCACTTGTTTTGGTGTTGACTGTTTCCTTGACCTGAAGTTTGACTTTGTTTTTGTGTGAATTTCTTCGTATGGATTGGTATATTTTGTCAATCTCTATGTGTCTATTGATTGCTGATTCATTTGAATACCAGGCCTCTAGGAATTCTCTGGCATTTTCGCAGTTCCCTTTGTCTAAGATTTGAACATTGTCCCAGTCGAATTGGTGCCCGTGGTTGTCTGCATGTAGTGATATGAGGGAGTGTATGTCGTGTCTTTTGACAGCTAGTTTGTAGTTTTGATAGCTAGTTTGTATAGCAGAATGAGCAATATCGAGGTTAGGCTTGAGTCGAGTGCTAGGTAAGGAGGGAAGAGGAATCAACAGACGAGGCTGTGAAGCTACATCGACTGAGATAGTTAGGACATGTGCTACGCATACATGCCTAACCATCGCCTTCCTCGACGGAAAATGTTAGCTGACATACGGTCAGGCTGGAAAAGAGTTAGCTAGTGGTGGTCAAACCAAAACATAGCTTCATAACTCAATGAAATCCACAATAGTTAGTTTAAGCCAGCCACGTAGGAAAGTGTAGACTTCCTGGTGGGGGTCATCGGGACGGTAAAAACCAATGGATGCTGGAGACAATCGGTGATATGCCTTGAAATCGTTCTCAATGAATAACACAGATGCATCCACTCCTTGTGACTTATAATACCCAATGAAACTATATTGTTCTTCGTTCTTACTATTCCTTTGTTTCATATGCCTGTCTACTGTCTCTAATATGCATTTCTTCTACTTTCTTCTCTTGCTTTGTGTACTACGTGGATAGAGTGTGGCGACTTGAACTGCTGCACATCAGTGCAAAGTTCTTTGTCAAAAACAAACAAACAGACAGATAGTTAGAAAGCCTTAAAAAATAAATACTGTGAAGTACTGGTCTACTCTTTTGAGTAGGCATAAGATTTGTACTTCTTCAAACTCACACTATATATGGATTCAAATTCATAGTTTTTAGAGTTTGTATTTCACGGTATTCATAAGGCTAAGAATGTCAGGATGGTTAGTTTACTCCAGCTAGCTGAAACTGAATTAGGTGAATTCCTCGAATGATTTATGAAATTAGAGCAAATGAGGCATAGATTTCAATTTAATCTACAGAGGAGGGAAATCACTTTTAAAAATTGTATTAATTTGCTGTATATTATATAATAGAAATCTATTATTATTATTATTATTACATGTGTCTCATAAGTGAACAAATTTTAAAGGAAAAATAATAAGTAATCTTACTCGTATTGTTGTATACAATGCTTTCCACGATAACGTAGGTGTTGAATAGCAAACCTATAAATAGGAAATTCGTAAAAATATATGATAGAGTTAGAGTAATATATTCAAATTAAATATGCAAAAACAGTCAATTTAAAGGGAAATAGTATTAAGGAAAACCATTTTTTGATGCATTTATAGAACTCTGCAATAGCAAGCAAAATAAGAGAAGGCTACAGCTCATAGACTAACACATGTACTTTTAACCAATCGTTCTAGAACGAATGAGTGATAGTGTTCCCATTGTGGCTCGAACCCAGCACCCATAGTTCCAAACACCGAAGCGTTACCCACTAGACCACTTGCGCCACGACAGCCAGCTCTTGTGCAATGCGTATTAGTAATTTTTTAATCCGATTCGGCTTTCCCGTTGATTGGTTGAAGCAAAGTGCTCGGTCTCAGACATCGTCAAACCAGCTGCATAAGACGATATATAAAACTGAGACAGAGCACTTCGGTTCAATCAATCAATCAACGGGAAAGCTAAGTTGAACTAAACAATTATTAATAACCGTTGCACAACAAGTGGTCTAGTGGATAACGCTTCGGTGTTTGAAACTATTGGTACTGAGTTCAAGCGTCAATGGGAACATCATCACTCACTCATTCACTGAAGAATGCAGGTACATCGAGCCAACAAGTCCCAAACAGGACGAAATGCACATCCTGGTGGATTCCACTGCTCGTCAGTTACCACTATCCACCAACTTCCTTCAAATTAAATCCTCAGACATAGTAGAAACATCTGCGCACAAACAGCCGACATGTCAACCTCAGGCTAAGCATTTCGGTTCAGTCGATCAACGGAATAGTCCAAAGTGTGAATTAAGTGCGTAACAACATATTTTTAAAGAAAATAATCATAGAACACGAATAGGCAAAGTTAAACTTTCGACACCATTAAAAACCAATCAGCAAACGACCTTGAACGAACCAATCACATGAAAGAGGCGTTTATTATAAGCGGAAACGTATATTTATAGAAAAATGCATAAGAAAATGATAAAACGGCTACAATGGATATCTCTCCCAAACATGGGAGAGAAACATTTCCCAATTCAGCATGTGACTGTCAATAGAGAAGTCGCACCACATTCTCTACATATATTCATCTAAATGACTATAAATGAGATCCTTTTGAGATCCATTTATAGCCCTTATTCTATTTTTCAGTCGACCCCAAAATCCTTCAGTGAAATTTTTATGAGGCATTGTAACTGGATCCCCGAAATCACTGGAGTAGTTCACTCTGTGATGTATGTATCCCAGGGATGACAACAAATCATAGCCTTTCCAATCGACGGTACGTACAATTGATCCCGGTTTCACAAGTCGCTTTATAATAGGTACCAGAGTAGTCGCCATCCTGTCTGCTATTCTTTCAACAAATACTTTTCGGAGGGACGTGTCGTATCAACCTAGGTTCATAGCTATGACCCAAATATTGTTCGCTCTCTGACGACCGCGGTTGTATTTCTTCTTCACCAACATTGTCTCATCCACATGGACTACTACGTCGTCCCCGCCTAACAACGAAGTAATTCTGTCCATTCTCCATGAGGCGAGTCTCTGCAGTGCTGGTACCACTGAACTGTTGAGACGAGGCTGTTCTCCGTCTCGGCAGCAGAGGCTCTCATGGGCTGTTTCAGTACCCAGTAATTGCAAATGTACCAAATCTGGGTTAGAGAGAGATGCGACCTAGCAAAAACAGTTCCTAAGAAATATTACCCTCTCTAATACTAATTCGCTTCCAGCAAATTCCACAACGATGTACAAAACCATCAGTTGACCTAGTATAGCTTTTTAGAGTCATTACACCACCACACGAACAACTTCTCTCCTTTCCAAACAAGCCTAAGTCCAGGAAATACTGAAAGACACTATCCTCCTCGAATTGCAAACGTAACATTGTAAGGGCACGCATTAAAATGAGTCAAGCGCTATACAACATTGAACTACGTTCGTGAATCCCATTGGATAATTCGACGTCGTTCGCTGATTGGTAGTTATTGGTGTCTAAAGTTTAACTTGGCCCACGAATAACCATGATTATTCAAAAGTTAACCTTTAAAACCACTAGACTTGTGAATGAATGAATGATTTATTATAAAGAATATCGATTTCATTTGACAACTTGTATCGATTCAATTCCCCAGAAGGAGGAAACGCAAGATCTACCGAACTTACTTCAGTATATTTAGGAATCTTAGCCTTTCTTGTACAGTGAAACTCTGCAGTAATGCCTTCAAATGTGTCACTGTGATTGTCGACAGGATGTGTAGAAGGCATATGTACAAATCTCTTTGACAATTGTCTGTTAAACGACGTGGACCTGAAATATTTTGATCACATGGACGACGATGAATATGCGGTCGAATAATTGGCTCTTTAGTCAATAGAAGGTCGGGTATAAATATTCTCTGGAAGTTGAATCGATGATTATAAGGATGAGAGAGAAGACGATGACTATCTCGAGCATGATGATGATGATGATGGCTTGCAGGAGTATCAGAGATTAAATTTTCATCATGTTCTCCAGAATGTCTAGAGAAGATAATAATAATAATAATAATAAAGATTTTAATTGTTACCATGGCTACATGGAATTGACAAACAAAAGTGCTTGTCATACTCAGTAATAATAAAATCTATAAGAAGTTCGATTTTGCCTCATTTGATTGACGATAGCGGTCACCAAGTGGATAGAAGAAGTGCCTTCAAAGTTATCCATCGCATTCCATCGAACCTTTCCAACAGAATTCAAACTCGCCTGTTAAACACGTAGCCGAAGAAGCAAAGGGGAATTAATTCGAGAGAACAATTCTAGTCTCTGAATATCAAAAAGAAGTTTGTCCTCCTTTGCCTCTCTCCTGGCTTAGGTGAATTCTAATTCAAATAAATCCTCCCACCCTTTCTTGTTTTCCACTTCAATCGTACGTTTATGATATTTATTAAAGCTCTGAATATCTGTCCACTTCACCTACCTCTGGTATTACGTAACTTTTAAGATTTCACCTAATCATTTATTTATTGAATTGTTTATATATACACATATCACTCACAACCTTCGTTATTCCTATGTATATATATATGGTTTTTTAAGAAATTATATCGGGTGAGGAAATTAGGTCAAAGGTGTGAATACATGAAATAATAATAGTGGTATGAAATGCAATTAAAATATTTGTGATTATAATCATAGTTTGATGTCAAGTGGCAAAGCAAATTAGTGTCATATATAGAATAACACATAAGCTGGGTACCCATTGGTCAAAAACGAAACCTGGTCCGGTCGCTTGCCACTCGTATTCGGCGCATATGTAGCCCTGATACTGTGGAAGATGAGTTATACATCTTGAGGAAAATCCTAATAGAAAATGGATCTCCACCATGTTTTATAGATAAGAATATACATTCAAATCCGAAAAAAAACGTGACTTATCAACCTTACCCAAAAAATACTTTACATGAGCTTGGAATTCAAAGGGGACTTAGCTTCCGATATCATGAAACGAAGGGTATCACAGTCCCTGAATAGAACATTCCCTGCTGCATCTCTGAGAATAGCCTTTACTAGTCGACCATTATTGTTCAATAACCTGAAGGACAGGATCCCGCTGTTGACCAACTCTATGTGTGTTTATCAATTCACCTGCTCGTGTGAAGCTAGGTATATCGGCCGTTCGACTCGAGATTTGCCCAAAAGGGTGCAAGAACACTTTCCTGCATGGTTACGAAGACGTGGATGTGGAGCAATAAGACTTGCGGTCATTGAACATCTGGTCGATAATGATCACCCTATATCTATAGCCTCCGCCTTTAAAGTCATTTACAGGGCAAAGAGTAATTTACCCAAATCCCTACGTACCCGACTCATCTGTATTGCTGAAGCTTTGGCTATCGAAACGGAAAAGCCAGATCTCTGTGTACAAAAAAAGTTCGTTCAACCCCTCCAACTTTCATGGTCTTAATCCCTCTAGACTAAAGTATGGTAATCCACAATCATATTTTAGCTCTACCAATTTTTCATTTTTTAGTTTTCGTCTATTCAATTTGTATACTGTTCCTTATTAAGTCAATTGTTACTATTACTACTCTCACTTTTAACTGTCCCCGGTATTATTTCACTTGTTCAATTCCTTTTTACAACATTAAATTCTATGCTATTAAATTTCAAACAATATTACGTAACGTTTTTATTTTATTCGATGTCTACTAATCTTATAATTGCACACCCTTTTTCAAGTTCTATCCATCCTATGAATTATTCTATATATGACATTAATTTGCTTTGCCACTTGACATTTAACTACGATTATAATCACGAACATTTTAGTTTTAATGGCATTTCATATTATCATTATTATTATTTTATGCATTCACATCTATGATTTAATTCCTTCACCGGATATAACTTCTTAAAAACCACATATTTACGATTGTACAGCTTGATGATAAATTCGTTGAAAAGTCTTTTCGCCGAATCACTTGTTTTGATCTTCTAAATACATAAGGTGTATAGATGTTGAAAAGGGGTACATAATTATAAGATTAGTAGACGAATATAAAATGCTACATAACATTGTGTAAAATTTGATAAGATAGAATTCAATATTGTAAAAATAAAAATTTAAAAATGAATAATTTTGTCTTTAAAATGACAAGTGGGTCACGTGGAAAAAGATTCAGAGTGAGAATAGTAATAATGATAATAATAATAATAATCGTAGCCAAAATGGGAATTATTAAATTATTGAAAAAACCTTATTATCATTATTTTTTCTTATCATTATGATCATCGTTAATACTGACGTTCAAAACAATTAACACTTTATTATCATTATTATTACTATTATTTAACTCACAAACTCATTGTTACTGGTGAGATCTTTTTATATAAAAACCTGTGCGAATTAGAGTAGAGCCAGAAGATCTAATTGAAAACAACAACATCGTTCGCTTGTATATTGTCTTGTTTTAATGGTCAATAATAGTTTACTTTGTAAGATTCACACTTATCAGTTAAACAGTATGAACTAATTCACCCTGATACAATTCAATCAAACTGATGATTGCGTGAATAACTATTTCTTATTAGCTAGTTAACGTCTGTGCGTCGACGGCACAGCGGTTAGAACGCTTGTCGACCATGTATATGGTCCGGGGTTGGACCCCCAGCCGACAAGGCACTCCTTTACCTCTGTAAGCCAGTAATAAAATCTGGTAAAGAGGAAAGGTTGGGCATGAGGCTAGCAACCCCATCCTGTAAAAATAAACACCACTGCTACAGAAACTGCAAACCTCTAGCTTGAAGCCCCCTATTTTCTCCTGGGAACGTGAAGGAATAAAAAAAGTTAACATCTGATTGGATAGCGGAAAAACACATTTATTCAATATGAGAATGCAGTGACCAGTGTGTCTCTGCACTGAAAGAATCAAAGCTACTCAGCGGAGTTATTATTCCCGTATTATGTAACTTCTTAATTGTTAGTCAGAAAGTAATAACAACAATCTAGTCGAGCTGTGGCTCATTGCACTCGATTACACTCGTTTATCATCAACCACCACCTACACAACCATCCATTTTTATTTTATTAATACACAAACTTGATACATTATAGGCGCCAAGGAGTACACCAGAAAATTTTTCATTGTTTGTGCGAGGGCTGGGATGCTACCTTGACGCACACACCGAAGCAGATGGTTTTCTTAACGGGCCATCCACACACTCCCACTCCCGAACCTTTGACTTGAACTTTGAGCCTCAAGCCAGTGGAACAGCGTCAGGGGCTACGTTCCTATGGTTGAGATGGTGACCACAACAGGATCATACGCTACTCGATCAAATAAGGATTCTGGAGCCCATATATCCTAGGTAGACTTGTACGCCCACCAATTCACTTGAAAGCACCAAACGTTCGTATTGATATCCCGCCGCGTGAATTCGATTTCATCTACCATTTCGGGAGACCAAGTAGTATCAGTAGGTTAATGTAAGTGTAGAACATGGGCACTGTGGTGGAATGTAATTCCTATAAGAAATCAACACACTCCAATAAATACTTAGACTTTAACTCATCTCATCCGGAATCGGTATGTAGTGAGAGCTGGCTGCTAGCCAAAGTTGGTAGATAGTAATTGACGTCAATGTTTATGTCCCCAATATTGGTGGTGAGAAAATGAGAACAAAGGCTTTGCGTAGGCGGATACAGTTAGCATATGGATGATCTGACACAGCCACAAAGAGAAACAACCAATCAAAAGACTGTATTTTCTACTAATGATAATCTACAATAATGTACATTAAAATCTATAAATATGTGTTGATTTTCCTTAATAAACGATCTGTAACCTGGCCCTTGTCTTCTGTTGTTACAGGTATAGATAGGTTCAGTTAAATATTTATATAATCTGGCCAGGAACCTAACTCATCCGGAATCGGTAAAGATGGGTTTAGTTAAGTGTCCAGATAATCCGGTCATTAGAATAACAAGTTAGCCAAAAGATTTAAATAATGAAATCAAACAAATAAAGGAAATATTACTAGTGAATAACAACACACTACCCACCAGAATTTATTCAGAAATGTATGAAGAACCTTGGGGAAAATAACATCAGTAATGAAAATGACGAAAAATAAATAAAATAGAATTCAAAGCCTCCCTCTGTAGTACTGCCGTACAAAGAAGGAAAATTAGAAACCTTACATAGGACTCTCAATAAAGCTTGAATCAGAGTGATATTTAAACCAACCAACTGTCTCAGAGACCAACTTTGTTGACTCACGGACCCAATAGATCCCATTAAGAAAAATGGTAATAAAATTTACCAAATACCATGTAATGTAATGACTGCGAATGATATCAGCTAAATGAGTTGTCAAACTAGTGGTGGATCGGGGTCATTTAGACTACTGGAAGATAAAAATTTGGCTAGACCTAGAATGATTGACATAGCGATTGCATTGCATTCACTTTTATGTAGTCATTCAACACGTGGGGTGGGAAAGTCTTTCTGTCTGGATTCAACATAGAACTTGGCACCGAAGTGCAGCAGCTCCAGTTGCCACGTTCCAAATAGCACACATATTCCCAGTACTTGAATTCTGTATCTTTTCATGTCGTTTGCGATCTGGGCAGCTTTGCCAACCTCGTGTGGGCAGACATGGAGCCAGGTGAAGACTCTAGCAGAGAACAGAACGCACGGCTGAAGCCCTATGTTCCTGTAGGAATTAAAGGATACAATAATAATGATAATAATAGTAATAATAATATAATAAATAGCACACAAAGGTAGACAAGAAAATGAGTGAAGAGAATCAACAGAGTTTTGACAAGTATAAGAGTGAAACAGAATGAGTAATGGTAGAAAGGAATATGAAAGATTACAGAGACTGAATACATCTGCGTAAGCCATTGACAACGATTTTGAGCCATGTCACCTATTGTCTGTCTCCAGCCATTGATTCTTAGAGTCCCGACGGCCACAACCCGGAAGTCTGCATCTCCCTACCTGACTCAGTTTAGCTGTCAACGACTTCATGGATTAATGCCACGTTTTTGTTTGGCCACCAACTACTTACTCTTTTCCAACCTGCACCTATATCAGCTAGCAATGTCTGTCCGTCGGGGGAGGCGATGGCTAGGCATGCGCAGCACGTGACCTAACCATCTCAATCTATGTGACTTTATAGCCTCTTCGATTGATTTTCCCTCTTTGCCCAACACTCTACGCCTGACGTCAACATCACTTACCTTATTATACCACCTAACGTGAGAAAGAGATCGTAGACATCTATGATCAAAAATAGTCAACCTTTTCATGTTTTCAACTCGTATTGGTCATATTTCAGAGCCATAGAGAAGGACGGAGCGAACTGCTGAGTAGTACACACGTCCTTTGGTTGATAGCCGGATGTCACGCCTACGCCAGAGACGGTATAAGTTAGCGAAAGCAGCCCGAGCCTTTTGGATCCGTGCTGAGATTTCGTCACCAATCAGTCCGTTGGTGCTGATACAACTTCACAAATAGGTGAAGTGGTCAACTTGTTCTATCACTTCACTTCACTTCCTATGACTAAGCTAGGAGTTGACGTAGTCAAGTCCTGTAGCACCATCTTACATTTTACAGGGGCAAATCACATGCCAAACATAGGAAGATTGCTGCTCAAGGTGTTGAGAAGACCCTGCATTTTGTCAGCATCCTCCCCTAACAGGACTATGTCATCTGCATATTCTAAGTCTATAAGACTATTCCCTGGTAACAAGTCGATTCCTAAGTCGTTTAGTTCAGTTAAGGATACTTCCATTAGCATATCTATGATGAAGTTAAACAGAAATGGGGAAAGTGGATATCCCTGACGGACACCACTGGTTGTTATCAATTCAGATGACAATTCCCCATAAGTCCTTACATGGCTACGTGAGTTTGAGTAGAGTGCCTTGATTAGTGCAATGTACTTTCTTGGCACTCCCTTCCCAGTCAAACATTGCCATAGCGTGGGAAAGGGTGAGAGTATTAAAAAGTATTACAGTTATGTGGAGAGAGACAGAGTGGTTAATCATTGATCCTTTGTTTATCGACTCAAAACCACACTCACGTGCAATTGGAAGGACTTAACGCCCATAGAAAGTGGCAACAAACAACAAGGGGAAGATGGAGAGAAAGAGAGAAAAAATATTTAAGACAAATTGTGAAACCGTGTGGACTAAAGTTGATGTGATTATGAGTGGCAAGTATTTATACTCGCAACCTTGTCATCCGGTTGTTAATACTGCATCGCTGTGTAAATACTTAAAATAAACTAATATGGGAGTATCAGTATCAGGTCTCAACACAATAGATGTGACTCATTTTCAAGTGGATGGAAATGAAAGTGGTTAGTTGTGGAGTGATTAAAAAATTGATGACATTTGGACTTTCGAGAGCATCTGGGTTATCGAGATTAAATTCAAGGTGTAATATTGGCTGGCTAACAGCATTCGGTATGTTACCAGACTGCTTAAATGCGTTGGGAATATTGTGTTAAAAGCCTAAATCAATCATACTGTGACATAGTGTAATGAACTAGCCTAAGGTTCAAGTTTATTCATTCTAAAAAATGCTAAATCTACCTGAAATGATATCATCTTTTAAAACAATCGGCCTAAGTCATTAATAACAATCGGTCGGTTTTCGACATAGAACTTCGCACTTATGTGCGGCAGTTCAAATCGCCACACTCCATGTAGCACAAAAAGCAAGAGAAGGAAGTAGGAAAAATGCATTATATAGACAGTAAACAGAGGTGTGAGACAAAGGAATAGTAATAACGAAGAACAAAACAGTTTAATTGGAAATCATAAGTCACAAGGAGTGGATGCATCTGCGACAGCCATTGAGAACGATTTTGAGCCATGTCACTAATTGTTACCGTCCTGAGGACCCCAACCAGGAAGTCTCGGCTCTCTGAGCTAAGATCATGTGTAGTATCTGTTCTTTGCAGTGTTATTTCTGCAACGGTCTCTAAACTGAGACCAATGAAATTACCTGTATTTTTCCCTTACGGACGGGTGCTGTGAGCTTGCTCAACCCCGTCCACGGGTCGGTCTCGTATTGCATTAATAATAATAATAAAGGCTTACTCAATATCTGAGATATTTATTCCCAAAGGCATTCCTGCGACAGGTGTAGACACAGAATCTTGACTATCAGAACTTGTCGATTTTGCATCATTCACACGATCCGGATAGACACCAGCCAGTGTGAGAACCTGTTTGGCCCAATCTTGATCTGAATCTACAAATTTGGCAAAGTGAAATGATAACCAAATGTTTATCAAAACTGATCTTATTAGAATATTGTTACCAACAATTAATCATATTTCTGAAAAAGAATGACTACCATTTTGTTTTTGAAGATACTTAAGAATTTTTACATGTATATAATTCCCATACATACGACAGTTTATCATTCTCTACTGACAAAACTATGCGTCGGTGACGTAGCGGTAGAATGCTCGCCAACCACGCTTCATGTGGTCCAGGGATCGATCCCCGGTCACAGACGCACTCCTACCTTTACCTCGCTACACCAGTAATAAGACGACTGGTAAAGAGGGAAGCTTGGGCATCAGGCTGGTTAGCAACCCTATCCCGTAAAAGTAATAAACACCATTACTACCGAAGAAGAAGCTTGAAGCCCTATGTTCCACTCGGTACGTAAAGGAATCAATCCGTAGAGCTTTAAAGTGGATACTTTCAAACGATGGAGGAAATGAGTAACTGAAAAAGACTAGGAATTCACTGGTATGAAAACTATAAATAGATTGAAGCTTTAAAAAAAAGAAAACACAACTTCTTTTCACCATTACACAAGTCGCTCAAAGTGGATTCTTTTTCGAGAATAAAGCCCAAACTTAGTGGAATTGCAGAAGTCTCTTTACTCTACCGCTTATTCTTCATTCACAGAGCTATAAAATCAATGATAGAGAGGGGGGAGGGGATAACACGCAGGCAGTTTAAGTTATTTGTGTGCCCACTTGTCAAAAGAGCAACACATCTTCACCTTCATAAGATCAATTGAAAGATTACAATCTTACATAAAACTATGTATTACTGATTGGTTCGGATGAGTAGTTGCGTACCACTCATATCAATCAGCCAGCCAGATCGAGGTCATCTAAACACTGGACAGCCGTTTCGCTAGTCGTCTGGGGTTGAGTTCATCAGCGGTGTACTCGGTTTAACTCAGTTTAGAGAGCTGAATCAGTTCAAACCACCCGATTTCTGGCTAGCTGGCTATTGTATCAACCAGCAGAGTGGTAGGCAGCTACTCATCTAAATCAATCAATCAGTAGTATGTATAGTTTTATGCAAATTTGCATTCTTTCTTTCTTACTTGATTAACATTTATGGTGGTGTAACAACAGAAAACAAGGGCCAGGCAACAGATCCTTTATTAAGGAAAATCAACACATATTTATAGATTTTAATGTACATTATTGTAGATTATCATTAGTAGAAAATACAGTCTTTTGATTGGTTGTTTCTCACAGAAAGTTAACCTTGCATCTCTTTGTGGTTGTGTCAGATCATCCATATGCTAACTGTATCCGTCTACGCAAAGCCTTTGTTCTCATTTTCTCACCACCAATATTGGGAACATAAACATTGACGTCAATTACTATCTACCAACTTTGCCTAGCAGCCAGCTCTCACCACAGTGGTATCAAGCAGATCACGAGTTGTGATCGGAATAACTTGGTTTCCAAAGGAAAGCACCATGGTGAAATTTCGCCACTCAAACGGTGTAAATTGTAAATTGCTATATTAGTTTGTTTATTAGGTGTATCACACAGTGAAACAGTATTATTTACTGGATAACGAGGTTTCGAACAAAATTTATTGTTCATAATCATATCAAATTATAATCACACGACTTTGAAACTTGAGTTTTATAGTTTTCTTTGTTTTCTCCCACTTGTCGTGGGGGTAGTAGAATCTGGGACAGTTTTTGAATCATTCCTATTACATGTATTTGCAGTTGATTCGATAAACAAAGCTTCTGTTAAAAATCTCTCCCTCCACCTTGTTCTGTTAGATTTTGAAACCGTCATCTTATCCCATCCATCCTATTGCATGGTTGTGTGTAATTGCATGTAGTGAGTGCTATCTACAGCTGAACTATTCTATAGATTTCTTATCTTATTCGGGTCAACTAATCTAGATTTTGCTGCTAGGTTTTTATGCTATGATATGATTATGAACAATGAATTTTGTTCGAAACCTAGTCATCCAGTATGCAATAATACTGTTTCACTGTATGACACATCTAATAAACAAACTACTAATATGGAATTACCTACTACCACAGTGCTAAATAGTTTTACACATATATATTAATATATGTAAATTGCTAACCAGTTTAAAAATTGTGAATTTGAGTGTTACAGTCTTACATTGATTTTTATTTGCAAGTCTATACAGAAGTTTCTCGAAATAAGTGCTTGATAGTGAACAGAGTACAGACGTCATCTTTTACTTTTCTGAAACGACACTGAATCGTATTTATGATACTAATTCCCAATATCAGTGAAATATAAGCCGACTAAATGATTATACCTGCCACTTTATAATCACAGTTACCTCCGTTACATTGATTGCAACCTGGATTATATATATGCTCAGTTACCTAGATCACACACTTGTTGTATGAGAGTTGATAATATTACCTATATACCCAGATGGAAGCGTCAGTGGCAATGAGATTCACACTGTGACTGTGACTGAACAATTGAAAACTAACTATTTAGGCCAAATGAGTCATAATTTCCGGATAAAACAGATTCACATTATGTGTCTTTTCAGACAAGGCAGATCTGTACACATCTCTGATAACATTGTATTTATACAGTAATATAAGTGATGTGTATTCCTCTTACCTGGTCAAGTACCCAGAAAATAAACAAATGTGAATGTATTTTTAACCTGTATAAGAGATGCTTTGCAAAAACCAATCAACCAAATCCCTACAAACCAATACTTGAATATCAATGAAATGCTCACTGGCGACTGACCCTATTCAGGTAGGTAGTTACCTGGGGTTCCAGTGGGAACTCGTGACCAGTAGGGTGCAGCAGGTCGAGTGTGAGGACCAATACTCGCCGAAGACATTGGCTAGCGGTTGCGATATATCGTGAATTGGCAGAAGTTAGAATTCATGGGTCGGCCATTGGATCGGGCCCAAGTGGCTTAATGGTATACGACCTCGTCGTGTAACCAGAAGGTCCTGGGTTCGAACCCTGGTGAGTGAGTACTGACGAAGGGTCCCAAACTAGGACGAAACAGCTGTCCAGTACTCCCAGGTTTTCCAATGGTTCTCTAACCAATGTCAGCTCATGATGACATCCTGTAACCGATCAACCAAATCCCTACAAACCAATACTTGAAAAACATTTCATATAGTCTTTGTTTTCGATGATGGCTTGATAAGTGCTAGTTGCAACTTGAATGGGAATTTAGTCTTTATGCCTTTTTAAGAATAACAGACTGAGACAACTGTGTGACAGCGTATCTACTTACCATAACAGAGAAGATTCATTCGTATCAGAATTCTGCTTCTAATTCACATCTCTGATTTATTTATTGTCAATTGGTTTAAAGAGAATAGTGGATGTCTTCCCTTGAAGTGTCTTATACAGCTATTCCCGATTTTTCCGATAGTTCCCTAACCGATGTCAGCTCATGATGAAATCCTGTAACCAATCAAATCAAATCCCTGCCTACCTACTCGGGTAGGTAGTTAACTGGGCTGGCTCTAGCGAGAAGTCACGACTAGTGGGATATAGCAGGTCAGCTGTAAGGACAAATAATTGCCACCGATGACATTGCCTAGTGCCAGTCGCACTATATCGTGAATTATTGGCAGAAGTTGGAATTCATGGACTGGCTGGTCACTGGATAAGGTTCAAGTGGCTGCTGAATGGTCTACGAGCTCACCTTGTAACTGCGAGGTTCTGGGTTTGAACCCCGCTGGCACTGGGTGAGCACTGCTTTAGAGTCATTGACAAGTCTGATGAAACAGCTGGTTGTTCAGTATTCCGGAGCTAGTTTTACAATGGTTCTCTAACCGATGTTAGGAGCTCATGCTGAAATCCTGTAACCAACGAAATCAAATCCCCGCAAAACCAACACTTGACTATTTAATTTTTGATAAAAATTTCTTCACTTTCTTAAAAAAATCAAATATTTATCGAGGAGAAAAACAACAGTGTACAAGTACTTACTTTGTAAATTCATGTCTAAAGCTGATGATGTCGGTGATAATTCTTGATGATGATGATTTTTGTAATTTTCACCATTTTTATACTGCATTATATCATTATGAAGGTATTCATCGTCTAGAGTGTTCATGCCTCCATTCAACATAATATTATTATTGTTGTTATTATTATTCTCCATACCTACACCAGTCAGTGTAAGCGTACTACTACTCGCATGACTGGAGAGAAGAAAACTATTCTGTGAACCATCTACAGACTGGATAGAATGTGAACGTGGATATTTATTATTATTATTATTATCATTATGTGGAGGCATCTCTTCCATTCCTATTCCTGTTGATGATGTTGCCGATGGCGGTAATATTGAAGAATTGCTCTGGCCCTGTAGACGATTACTCTTGTGAATACGTTGTTGAAGAGAACCACCTTAATTGTCAAATAGAAAAATTAACAGAAAATCTTACGAAAAAAAAGATTGACACAGTTTGTTTCATTTAGAATTAGCAAAAACAAAAAAACAAAAACAACAACAGATTGAGCGAAGAAATATGCATATATTTTCAATTAGTTCCTCATCATTGGCTCTACACTCCAATATTTAGTTTTTTTTCATCAAAATTTTTACCAATCGAGTGGTTATTTTAAGTTAATCAGTTCTAGGTATAGGATGTGGGAGTGGGTGAGTGGGGTTGAATTTAGACGTTAAAGGTTATCAAAACAATTAACTAATAGATGCTAGTAACAAGATATCTAAGTTTTGAAGAAGGGGTGAAAATTAATCAACGAATTCAAGGTAAACATTTGTAAAAAAAATCATATTTGTACAATCTCAGCAAGATTGAAATGAGTAATTCCAACGTTTCGTTCGGCAATCTCGTCTGAACTTCCTCAGGGAAATTAATCGAAATTAACATAACAGAGGTTTTTATATATAAAAGGAACATCTCTTGTTTTTTAAGTTAACAAAGAAACTATGTAATTGGCACAGTCATAGTGTTTTCACTCTCCGTTGTCTGCAACAGAATGCATATCCTAAATCGATAGCTGTCAAGTCGCCTGACAACTCCAGTAGGTCGAATAAAGCAGCTCGATCTTCAGAAACAAGACAAAGAAATAAGTTCGACAGGGTGCTTCAACTAAACTCTAATCCTAAACCCCATAATTTTGAAAATACGTCTAATCATAAAATTCTAGATAATAACAGTGTGAACAGACATGAAGGTGTGATGTTAGCAGATGCATAGCAAATCCTGATTAATAAATAAAAATGGATATGTATCACTAATTAATAATACTTGGTCAAAATTCCCGACTGTCTATGTCTTCTTATGGAGAACGTTAACAAATGTTTTACAACTATTTACCCCCAAACACACACAAATACACTCTGTCTAAAGTGTTTGACATAGGTAGACCAATATTTGTAAGTCCGAGGTCAAATTTTGATCACAGCTTATACAATTTTGTCCATTATACATGTTGATACCTGTTTCATGACTCATGATTGGACAAAGTTTCTAAAAAAAACAAGATATGTTCCTTTTATACATAAACCTCTGTTATGTTAATTTCGATTAATTTCCCTGAAGAAGTTCGGACGAGATTGCCGAACGAAACGTTGGAATTACTCATTTCAATCTCGCTGAGATTGTACAAATATAATTTTTTACAAATGTCTATTTCTCACTCGGCGCCCAAATATTTTAGAACTATTCTGTCAAATCTTGACGACAGTCCATTTGAATTCAAGGTAAGTTGATTCATAGGCGTGAAAAAACACCGTAAAACTACATGTCTCTGAGTGAGTTTGGTTCATTGAGTCTACACAACCAACACATACAATATAAGTGACACATCATGGCAAATACCAGAGATCCGGAAGATACTATTACCACCAGTCAAATGAGAGGAGGATAATAAATAATGTCAAAATACTATTTCAATTCACGTACATCATAACATTCTAACAAGTTACTTATTATTTTGACTATAAGAACACTCGTCTTATTTCCCATCTGATTGTATTTGATTGATAACACTCATATTATTATTTCTGAATGTACTTTATCTTACATTACTGGTTTTTATTTAAATGTCTAATCAATTTCACTCATGTATATAAATGAAGTAAAAAGTTGTGTGAGTAACTTGATATGATTATGAGCGGCAATAGTTCGAAACGTGGCCATCAGTTAATATTACAGTATAAGAAACACTGTGTGATTTATCAAAATAAAATCTTATCTAACTTTTGTAATAGACGTGTATGAAAATTGCGTATGTAATCAAAAAATTCGATGAAACATGTTGCATTTACAAATTACTCGTCTCAGACAAAGCAATTCCTCTTATGTTGTCAAATGTCACAAAGGGAACCAATCGCTCTAAACTGATGATCATGTTTTATAAAAAAAATAGTTCTTACCTCGATTAACACCGGCTATTTGATCTAAAATATGCTGTTGAACTTTGCCATCTTTAGTTAGATAAGCAGCAGAATTGGCTGAAGCAGTTGACTGACCATCACTAGTGTTGGATGGAGACGACTTTCCATGACTAAAACCTGAATTTGATATTGATTGGATAAAGGATACAGTACTTCCACTGTTTGTTGATAATGATGAAGTAAACGATCCACTGTCAGAATTTGTTATCTGCAGATTCCCTTCACAGTTGTTCAATGCTTCTAGTGAATAATCACTAATCATACTTTGTGGTCTATGAGAGATAGTACTATTACTCATTGTATTAGTAGTACTACTATTGGGGAATACATTAGATTTACCAGTTTTATTCGACTTATCAAAAGAACGTTGATGACGACGAGAGAATGTACCCGAATTACTATTTCCATCAGTAATTAATAAAGACTCTTCATAATCTCGACGTGCAGCAGCTGCAATAACTGCTGTTTGAAGAGCACCACCTTTACAAAGACATAAATATACGCGCAAGGAAAAAAAGGGTAGGATTAACATTAAAATAAAAGTTATTTTAAGAAAAAACAGTTTGTTACTAAGCACGATGCAACAGTATCTAAGGGAAAAATATAAACTTATTGACGTACTCTTTGCTTAACTCCATATGTACATAACAGCCAGTTCGAATCCTTTGGGGTTAATTTAGGAATTTCATTGACAACACTCACTATTCATTTGTGTTGAAATACAGCTTAGAGTGGGTTTCAGTACCAAGGCGTTTTTAGGCAATAACCTCTCCTATATTCTTCGATATTCTAAATAATAATTAATTATTAATCATTTAATTCCTTTACGTCCCCCCCCCTTCAATGAAACATACGTATTCAAGCTCAAGAGTTTTGGAGTTTCGGTAGCAGTGGTGTTTATTTTTACGCAAGGTGAGGTTGCTAGCCTCATGCTCAACCTTCCCTCTGTACCGACTTACTACCGGCTCATCGAGGGTAAGCAGTACATCTTTGGCCGGGGATCGATTCCGGGACCATATGAGGCGTGGCTGGAGAGCATTCTACCGTTAAGCCATCGACGCCATAAGTATTAATTGTATTCACAAAAAGAGCTCAACATGAAATCATTCAAAGCCTTCAATTTATTCAAGTTTTTAATTCTACACAAGCGGTGTGCATTTCTAATGCGGAGATTCGGTACGTCATTGCCTTCAGCTCAGATTAAATTCAGTTAAATCAATAAGTATTTCCAGAGATCACATACATATTTCTCGCCTGATACGTTTCAACACTTCTTTAAAAAACTTCAATAAACTACCTTCATAATAATTTACCTAATGTTCTTTTTGATATAAATAAACGTGTATTTCACAGTCAAAAAATTTGTGAGATTCAATTTATTTTATGCGCATAGACAATAATAATAATAGTAAGAGTAATTTGCTTTATTCCAAAACAGTACTTGTGATACAGAATGGAATTCTCAGCATTTTTACTACAGTACTACATCCAGTTAGTACATTATCAATAAATAAAATTCTACATAGATTAGATTAAGGAAATCTCAGTTCATTATGACAACAACATATTGGCATGTCGGTAGCAAAGCCAAAGCTGAACAGTGTTTGAAGGTGTTAGAAAAGTAGGTGCTGTCATATTTACCGGCGTAAGCGAGAGAAAGAAACAAAGCAGCACAAAAACGGAAAAAAAGAGAGAGAGATGGAAAAGAAACAAAGAAAATGTTGTACCTATAAATGATATGAGTTGCAAAGACGAGGTCCATTTGTACTACTGACTATTTAATGAATTATAGGTGTCACGCCTAATGCTTTCTTTATCGCACAGAACACGAGCTAAGTAGGTTATGGTTGAGTTCTTGTACTTGCTGGTGCGAGCATATAGTTTTCTATATAGGCTTCTGGTTTTGCCTGATGAGATGCAAGGGGAGAGTTGTGAGTGAAGAGGGTGGTGTGAGTTAGATAAAATGGATTTGGCCCATTTTTCACGTGAGTCCATGTGCTGGTATTTAGAATGGGAAAGTTCTCATCAATAAGTGATTTTCCTCATTTCCAAACCTGTTTGATGTAACACACATTCAGTTGTTTCGTAATGATAGCGATTTTAAAATCAGTCAGTTTTCCAAGATCCGAATCCAGTGATGATTCTGTGTTTATTAGTGCATTACTTTGAGAACGAGAGTGCGACTACTTTCGACTATTTGGGAACATTTGTTCTTACAGGATACTGAATAATCATTAGTCTACATAAAGGAGTCATACAGAAGTTGGCAAATATAGACCATTGGATTCCAACAGTATAGTGAACCATAAAGACGCTCACTGATAGGTCTGGTTTCATGTGAGCTGCTGATTCGTGATTTCGCATATGGGCAAAAATACCTATACTGTGTCTATGTCTGCAAAATGATAACATCTAGGTGAGAGTAACTATTATTTTTCCTCTGATTTATTTTACTAGTTCTTAAAAGATTTTCAAAAATAAAGAACGAAAAGGGAATGAAGAGAAGTGACACATTTCAGCACTGTTCAAACTTCTTACGCTTCCAAGTGAATCACCTTATCCCAAATCTTTAGATATAATTGGAGTAAAAACGCAAATGTTTATATGATAAAATACAGTCTGCTGAATATAAAGTCGAGGAGGGGTGCTGATGTGGGCTGAGAGCATCATCTAGTTCGAGGAACCCACAAGATCAAGGTGAAAGCCTTCATAACCACTGGGAACAGACCACAACTCAAGTTCAACACTCAGAAACTAAAGGACAAAACTACAAGGGATATTTTTTACTGCAGATATCAGAGAAAAGTCGGAGAAAACTAGGGACATCACTGACAAAACCTGTGTGGAAGAACATTGCAACTCTCTGAAGTTGATGTTCAAGGAGACGTTTACAATCGTTCTAGGAAGAAAGAAGAGTCAAGAGAAAGAATGGCAAATCATGTGCGGATCAAATTGCAACTCTACACATCGTCATTGAATAAAGCATAGAATGGCAGCCAAATATCTACCTCAACTTCATCGACTTTGATAAAGCCTTCGACAGCGTTGATCGCGAAGTAATTCGGAAGCTATTTCAACAATACGGAGAACCCAAATCTTCTGCGACCTCATTCAACAACTGGCTATATGATAATGCCACATGTCAAGTCGTCTGATGCGCGACAGAAAACTGAGAGGAGCTTTTGAAGTGAAGACAGAATGGAGTAAGACAAGGCTCCCGGTCATTACCGATGATATTCCTAATTGTGGCGGACACTGGATTATGCATCAGATTGTGCACGGGGAGTGAGAAGACAGAAATACATTGGGCTGATAGGAAGACTGTAGAAGATCTGGATTTCGTAGATGACATATTGGAAATGTCACACAAACTCGAAGATTTGCTGGTGAAAACCAACAAACTGGTCGAAGAGGAAGGCAGCGAAGACAGGAATCCAAGTGAACATAGAGAAGACGGAAGTGACGAAGATAACCAACGAACCACCACCACAACAACAACAACAACAACAACCAGAACCAATCACCATCAATGGGAGAGATTTAACGGAGATTACTTCCTTCACTTATCTAGGAAGATGTCAAAGCCGGAATCGGAAAAGAGAGTCACACTTTCATCACTACTAAATCAGTTTGGAAATCTTATTCACTCCGCGGCACAAAGCAGAAGATTCGGATTTTCAACGCCAATGTAAATTCAGTCAGTCACTTATATATGAATTAAAAGTCAATCTGAACGAAGAATATTCTTTTCAATAATTTCTCCTCTTCTGGTCCTTATGATTATAAAATATTATAATATTTGTTGTCATTGCAATAAAGGCCAGTTATGCGGCAGATACATTTTTTGTTCAACGGAGAATAACAGATTAGTGTTATGGGGTGTCAAAATAAATAGTCGTATTTGTGTGACAAACGTGCTAGGCTGAATTCGATTACAAAATATTGTAAAACGGGAGACAATGGTGATTAATCATAATAAATTTGTAGAGTGTGGGGTAGGAAAATTGCAGTCTTACTATCTCCTGTTTAACGTAGGCCACTTTGTGCTAGCCACTCACCTGATACCTTTTATAACCTTGAACTGACTTGCCAATTTTCCTACCCCACACTCTACAAATCTATTATTATTTTTTTATTTTTATTTTTTTATTTTGATTTACAGCTTGATTCCACACCGTATTTTCAGTACAAGTGTGGAATTTTCAGCATGGATATCGGTAGCCCAAATTCAGGCCGACCATAGATATCGGGTGTGCGCCGGCAGGGGATCGAACCCCGGACCATGTGCATGGTCGACGAGAGTCCTAACCACTGTGCCACCACCGTTGTCTCCCGTTTCACAATATTTTGTAATCGAATTCAGCCTAGCACGTTTGTCACACAAATACGACTATTTATTTTGACACCCCATAACACTAATCTGTTATTCTCCGTTGAACAAAAAATGTATCTGCCGCATAAATAGCTATCACTGTTGTAACGACAACAAATATTATATTTTATAATTGTAAGGACCTGAAGAGAAATTATTGAAAAGAATATTCTTCGTTCAGATTGACTTTTAATTCATAATATGGGAATTTTCCACACTGTCAAATCGTATAACTTATATATGAGTTAGAGAACTGGCCAGAGTGTCACGAAAAGAATTTCTAATAAACTACGGCAGACTTTTATCAACAACTGCTAACTTCTTTGGCTCCATATTTAAGATCAACATGGAAATCCGAGAATGAACTAACCAAGAATCTATTGCCCAACAAACATTCCAAAGAAAATGGGGATGGATTAGGCATACACCGAGGAGACCGGTGAATGACATCGAATGCCAGACCATCGCTCGAGTGGGAAACAACGAGTTGGGCATGTATGTATCCACGCTTGTCATTGAAGAGATCGTGGGAAGAGGAGATGAAGGCCTGTGGGCAATCATGGGGTCAGATGAAGAGGACTGAAGAAAATAGAACAGAGTGGGGAGATGTGCTGTTGAAGCCCTGTGTTCCACTCGAAACCCAAGGGAACAGTAATAATAATAATAATATGGGTTCTCTATTGGGGCCAATTTTGGCAGATTTCTTTCTATCCAAGATTGAAAATGGTCCATTGAGACAAGTAATAGAGAAAGCTGATTCTAATTTTCGTTATGTTGATGCTACGTTCATTATTCTTGATGTGAAAACTGACAAGAATGAAATGTTAAAACAGTTTAATGATGCACATCCATCGCTCATCTTCACTTGTGAAGAAGAACATGATGGTGGATTACATTTCCTTGACGTCCAATTGAGCAGAAGAGAGGATGGTTCACTCAAGAGAGATGTCTATAGAAAACCTACATCTGTAGGACAATATACACATTTCCTCAGTTTTGTAACAATCCGATATAAAATCAATTTGGTCAGATGCCTTACGAATAGAGCAAGACGTATTTGTACAGATGACTCCCTAGAAAATGAGCTAGGGTATATCCAAAATACGCTGGTCTAAATGGGTTATCCCAGTAGATTTGTAAGGAGACACATGAACACCAGGTACAATAAAGAGAAACTGACAACAATTGAAAAGAAACAACTGTTCATGAAACTTCAATTTAATGGGGACGTGGCTAGTGAAGTCTTACATCTGAGATTATCGAGAGCGATAAAACGGAATTATACTGCCACCACCCTTTGTTTGTCATTTTCCAGCCGACCAATTTTGATTACTCAAGTGAAAGATAAGCTACCTAGCTGTGCCACTTCGATGTGTATCTATAAATTTAGTTGCTCCTGTGGAGAAAGCTATATAGGGCGAACAACTAGACAGCTGAACAAACGCATTAATGAGCATCTTCCTTCATGGTTCGGAAAAGGTCAAATAAAATCCATACGAAGTTCTATTTTGGCTCATTTGATTGATAGCGGTCACCAAGTGGACAAAAATAGTGCTTTCAAAGTTATCTATCGTATTCCATCGAGTCTTTCGAATGGAATCAGAACCCGTCTTTTACACCTAGCCGAAGCTATGGGAATTCGAGAGAACAATCCTAGTCTTTGCATACAAAAGAAGTTTGTTCTACCTTTGTCTCTCCCTTGGCTTAGGTGAATTCTATTCAAAACCCTCCCACCCTTTCTTATTTTCCATCTCCTTTGTACTTTAATAATATTTATTTAAACTCTGATTATCGTTCCACTTCACCTTTTAAGATTTGACCCAATTTATTTATACACTTATATACATATACTATCTTTGTTATTCTTATCACCTGCATAAACCTTATTATCAATATTTTGTTATCATTATAATCATCGTTATTGATTTCGTTCAAAACATTTACCACATTATTATTATTTGATTCACAAAATCACCGTCATTGGTTAAAATTTTATATATATAAATCTATGTAAATTAGAGTAAAGCCTGAAGAAGATCTAATTGAAAACAATATTGTTCGCTTACATGTCTTGTTCTAATATTATAAATGGGAATATTTAAAGATTTGAAATAATATTTGTATTAATATCAGTAAAAAGTTTGAGCATTGTCGATTAGATCAAGTAAAGTATGATTATATTTCAATAGTTTACACAATGATAAGTTTTGTTATTGGCAATATTTCGAGCAAAATTACTGCCCGTGTTCACACCACTGTTGGAATTGTTTTATTCACATATGTATGATTTGTACTCATAGTTCATATAGTTCATTATTTTTGCTCATTCATGTTTTTTTTTGTTGTATTTAAGTTATATTCCACGTTCATTTATGTTTTCGTATTCAGAATTATATTCCAAGTTGTTGATAATTGTACTGAGTCACCCTTGTTACATGTATCCAGTGTGACTTTAATGAATATCGATTATGTTATAAGTCTTTCTTTCCATTTGTTCATGTTAATTTTTAGAATACACACATTGTCCCAATCGATATTGTGGTTTTCTTCCCATGCATGTGCAGCTATCGACGAATTTTTTTTCAAGATTCTTGTAGGCTTGTGTTCCTGTTGGTTGACCTTTGGTTAGGCGTTTATGTTCATTCACTCTTATTTTCAGTGATCTGGATGTTTGCCCCACATATTTAGTCGGACAGTCAGCACAAGATATTTTGTAAATCAAGTTGTTTTTATCCATCATTTTTATGGGATCTTTCAGTTGATTTATTTTATTTTTGATTAGATTTGTCGGTTTAAAAGTTGTGCGAATGCCGATATTTTTGAGGTTTCTTTGAATTGCCTCTGATGTACCACTTTAATATGGTGTTGTGACTGTTTTTTTCTTGCATTCTTCCATTTTGTTATTCTCCGTTTTTACCCTCTTCTTACTCTTTTTTTATATTATCTTTTATAAATTCTTTTGGGTAGCTATTTTCGAGTAGCATTTTGAATAGGACTTTTATTTCTTTACACGTGGAATATAATATAAATACGAAAAACATGAATGAGCAAAAATAATGAACTATATGAACTATGAGTACAAATCATAAATGTGTGAATAAAACAATTCCAACAGTGGTGTGAACACGGGCGGTCATTTTGCTCGAAATATTGCCAATAACAAAACTTATCATTGTGTGTAAACTATTGAAATATAATTATACTTTATTTGATAATAGTTGTAATTATTGTTATTATAAAACTGAAAAAATAAACTAAAAACAATACTTAATAATTAATTACCTGGAGGTCCAAGTGAATCGTAATAATCCAACATTAAACGAACTAATGGTAGATACAATGAACAAATTCTTGCTTGAATTGCTTTAGAACTATGATAACGTGGATCCAGACAATGCTTAATTAATAAATTACGCAAAATGATAACCGGTTGTCGATAGCATTGTGATGTTGACCTAAGTAGCGCCCAACTGCCAGTATTTATACAACCGGATAGCAGACAGCTAAGTTGACTTAACAGAACTCCAATCAAAAAGTGTTGTTGACAGAATTGATCAGTCAGAGAAATTTCAACACCTAAATCTTGACAAAAGAGGAACAAAAAATAAGAAAAACAACAACAGCAGGATAGTTGCGCTGACGTCGGGTTTAACCAAGCATGGATTATGAAACAAGGCGTGGGCATTGAACACACCTAGTTTAATAATGTGAGAATAATAATCACTGGATAAAATTTACCGAATGATTTATTGCTGTGTTCATTCATGTTACGTCGTAGAAGGTCAAAAGAGTATTACTACAATTACTCATATTTCTGTCTGTCTGTTTTCGACATACAACTTTGCACATATGTGCGGCAGTTCAAGTCGCCACACTCCATGTAGCACACAAAGCAACAGAAGAAAGTAGGAGAAATGCATAATAGAGACAGTAAACAGAGGTGTGAGACAAAGGTATAGTAATAACGAAGAATAAAACAGTTTCATAAGAAATCATAAGTCACAAGGAGTAGATGCATCTGCGACAGCCATTGAGAACGATTTTCAGCCATATCACCAATTGTTTCCAACCATTGGTTTTTACCCTCCCGTGGACCCCAACCAGGAAGTCAGTCTACACCTTCCTACGTGGCTTAGACTAACTGTTGTAGATTTCATTGACTGACAAAGCCATGTTTTCGTTTGACCGCCGCTAGCTCTTTTCTAGCCTGACTCATCCTATATCAGCTAACATTGCCCATTGTTGAGGAAGGCGATGACTAGGCATACGTAACACATGTCCTAACCATCTCAGTCGATGTAATATCACAGCCTCGTCGACTGACTTCCCCTCCTTACCTAGCACTCGACGCCTAATCTCGATATTGCTCACCTTATTATACCACTTCACGCGGGAGATACAACGCAGACATCTATGATCGAAGACAGCTAATCTTTTCATGTCTTCTGCTCTCAATGGTCTCAGCCATAAAGGAGGACGGAGTGGACTGTTGAGCAGTACACGCGCCCTTTGGTCGATTGTCGGATATCACGTCTACACCAGAGACGGCGTAAACTGGCATATGCGAAACTAGCCCTGTGTATTCGTGCTGAGATTTCGTCGGAGATCCACCCGTTGGGGCTGATGGTACTTCCCAAGTAAGTGAAGCGGTCAACGTTCTCTACCACTTCACTTCCTATTTCTCACCTAGGGGTCGGTGTAGTCCAACCCTGCAACATCATCTTACATTTTACAGGGGCGAATCGCATACGAAACATACGAAGACTGCAGCTCAAGGTGTTCAGAAGTTTTTGCATTTTGTCAACATCCTTGCCTAGAAAGACTTTATGGTCTGCATATCCTAAGTCAACGAGATTATTCTAGCATTCTAAACCTTGTCAAAGGCTTATATGTTTCATAAAATTCCTAATGTGTCTTTAACTTCTAGTCTGAGATATACAGGTGGACGGAGAATTTCGGTGACATAAACCTCAAGAGAAATACACATACACTGCTGCTGCTGCTGCTGGATTCAACATAGAACTTGGCACCGAGGTGCAGCAGTTCCAGTTGCCACGTTCCAAATAGCACACAAAGATAGACAAGAAAATGAGTGAAGAGAATCAATAGAATTTAGATAAGTATAAGAGTGAAACAGAATGAGTAATTGTAGAAAGGAATATGAAAGATTACAGAGACTGAATACATCTGCATAAGCCATTGACAACGATTTTGAGCCATGTCACCTATTGTCTCCAGTCATTGATTCTTAGAGTCCAGAGGGCCCCAACCCGGAAGTCTGCATCTCCCTACCTGACTCAGTTTAACTGTCAAGGATTTCATGGATTGATGAGGCCATGTTTTTGTTTGGTCACCACTTACTCTTTTCCAACATACATACACACGCATAGTGAAATGTAAACTAATCCTACAACTTTACATAGATCGATTTATATCATTAAGAAAAGAAAATAGCTGTACTCTACTAAACTACTGGAATCGGTGTTTTTCCCTAACTGTAGTCAAACTGACCAAATCACTTGAGTAAAACGTCCAAAATCATTTAAAATTACATAATAGCAACTCTGTTCTCTTGGGAGGGGGGATATAATCACAAATATAGGAAGGAGGGAGGGAGCGGGGGAATGAGTGAGTGAGTGGTAGATTAGCTGACCAGTTCATTAATTTGTTGAATTAGTGGATAAATTAATCATACATAGTGTGCCGGCAAACGCTTTTATATAATTATATCAATGATATCGAATAAATTAATTATGCACAATTATCATGCACAGTACAGTAACAAACCACGACCAACACCGCCCCACCAAGATTGTTACCAATTATTTTGAGCATTGTATATACATATACAGTGATTTTAAGTCACATTCACTTTTGCAAGCACACACAACCCAAACGAATCAACATGGTATTGATATAGCGACAGTGAGCATTTGCAGCTTTATATTTGTGATATAACACACAATGATAATATATATATATAGTCTCAACAACTGACTGTATAACAACGTTTCAAGCACAATTTATTGTTTATAATCATATCAATGTATTCATGCTACTTTATAACTTATATATATATATATATATATATATATAGCTTTATTCGCGGCTGTTTTGATTACCTCTTTCCGGTTATCTGGTAAAGGTGTTGCGTCATTTCTATTACACGTGTTTGGTGTTAACTCAATGAACAAAGTGTCAGTGAAGTAACTTCCCTGTCTCTCTCTCTCTCTCCCTCCACCTAACTATACTACTTTCTAATACTTTCACCCTATCCTAACACCTATACATCCCCATTACTTGATTGAACAGGGTCAATCAATCATTCCAGCTTCTAGCTTAATTCCAATATTCCGAAAGAATTAAATTGACTCTGACCTACTAGTTTGACTTATGTAACTGAACCTTAATATTCGGTAAATTATATTATTATATTTCCACTAATTGGATCTGTTGGATTTGTCTCCGAATGAGTTAGTCGGTCTAAATGTCATCTGAATTCCAATCTTATTAGGAATCCTATGTAGATTTTCTTAAGCTCTGATATTCATTTCATTATAATACGACAGTGAAAATGATATTTTACAGACTGACTGACATTGGAACAGACAGCTGAGGAACTCATCTTAAATAAATATCCTCACAACAGACTGTTTTAGGGAAGATTGATTAGAAGACAGACTGTGAGAATGATTGATTAAAGCTGAAACAGACTAGGGGGATAATAGGAGTTTCCAAGGTTTATCCTCGGAATCTTATTGCACGTTAAATGTACTTTACCACCATATCTGATAAAGAAAGCTCTATCAATTCAAGTTATACTATTAACTAACTGAAAGGACTACTCTTTCCATTAACATAAAGAATATTTATAATCTTAAGATTACTTTGAAGAAAATAATTGTATATTGTTGACCATGCATGATTAATTATTAGCATATATAAGACATACAATCCAATAAATGTGTGTCCAGAAGAATAATCAATATTGGTAAAATAACAAAAAAGGAGACAAGCCAATACACACACACACACACAAGAGAAACACTTACCCTTAGTATCTTCTACTTTTAGAGCAAATAGTCTGTTGACAGAGTCTTGCTCAACTATTATAATAATAGCAATAATGATAATAATAACAATGATAATAAAAAAAAGATTTATACAATAATATACAACTACTAATGTTAGGCGTTTCATTACTTCGACAGTTCTACCCGACAAAACTACTTTGTGTTGAAAACAAACACCTCTTAGGGCAAAGTTAAACTTTCGACACCAGTAACAACCAATCAGCAAACGATCTTGAACGGACCAATCACATGAAAGAGGCGTTTATGATAAATGGAAACGTATATTTCTGTCCCGAACATGGGACAGAAACACCTGACAGTTCAGCATCGGACTGTCAATGGAAACGTCACACCACATTCTATACATATATTCATCTAAATGACTGTAAATGAGATTCTTTTTGGATCCATTTATAGCCCTTGTTCGATTTTTTAACCGGCTCCAAAATCCTTCAATAGAATTTGTATGAGTCCCGGTAACTGGATCCACAAAATTGTTTGAATGGTTCACTCGGTGATGATTATATCCCAAGGATGACAGCGAATTATAATCTTTCCACTCGTCCGTGTGTATAATTGACCCCCGTTTGATAAGTCTCGCTATAATAGGTATTAACGTAGTCGACTTTCTATCTCCTATTCTTTCAACGAATCCCTTTCGGAGGGAAGTATCGTATAAACCTATAACCCAGATATTATTCGCTCGCTGCCGACCACGGTTGTATTTCTTCTTCAGCAACACAGTCTCATCAACGTGCATTACAACGTCGTCCCCGCCCAACAACGAAGTGATCTTCTCCATTCTCCAAGATGCAATATCTCTACAATGCTGGTACCATTGAACTGTTGAGACGAGGCTGTTCTCCGTCTCGGCAGCTGCAGCTCTCACTGGCTGTTTCAATACCCAGTAGTTGCAAATATATAAAATTTGCGTCAACGACAGGTGTGACCTTGCAAAAAAAGTTCCTACGAAATATTAAAATTATCAGCTTACCCTCTCTAATGCTAACACGCTTCAAGCATATAGCACAACGATGGACAAATCTATCAGTTGACCTGCTATAGTTTTTTAAAGTCATGATACCACCACACGAACAAGTTCGCTCCTTCCGGAGCAACCCTAAATCCAGGCAATACTGGAAAACACTGTCCTCCTTGAATTGTAAACGTAATCTTGTAAGGGCACGCATTTGAAATGAATCAAGCGCTATACAACATTGAACTACGTTCTTGAATCTCATTGGATAATTCGACTTCGTTCGCCTATCGGTAGTTAGTGGTGATTAAAGTTTACCTTGGCCCCTCTTAGACTGCAAAGTTGATGATATATATGAGAAGACTGATTGGCAGGCGTTATTATCGATTAATGTAGGCGTAGAACTTGGGCAGTGTGGAAGAGTGTAATTTCATATTCGATAAGTTTATTTAAAATATCCCCCAATGATACAGTACCAATAATTGGATGACGTTCCGAGCATAAATTATTGCTCAGAATCATATTAATTTAGTTACAAGGCTTCACAAATTGTACTATATATATATATATATATATATATATATATATTTCCTCTCTTCTCTCTCTCTACCTCTTCCCTTTGTTGTTTGTTGCCACTTTCCATGTCTCCGGTATAAGCGTCGCGTCATTCTGGCTACACGTGTGCGGTACCGAATCGATAAACAAAGCTTCAGTGACTAACCACTCTGTCTCTCCACTGTTTAATACCCTCACTATGTCTCACCCCACCTATTTTATGATTAAATGCAAACGAATTCGATGCAACGGTTGAGCTTTTTTCTAGGTTGATATAAGAATACAACTTGTGCACTGTGGTAGAATATAATGGGTAAAATTTGTTTTGATAAAGTCTCTCACAGTGTTATACAGTAATATTTACTGATGACCACGTTTTGAGCACAAATTATTACTGCTCATAATCATATCAAGTTGTGTGAGTGCCTTGATATGATTATGAGCAATAAATGAACAGTCAAAAATATTCGCCACAACCTATATTGCATGCGAATTTACATGTGTGTGGAAGTGCATACACACGGAGGAGTAATCACGTCTTGCGCTTAGAAATACAAGTGAATTGTGAAATCTCGATAAATGCAGGTTGCAGAATACCAACGGACAACGGGTATGAATCAGAAGATTGATATGGGAACAGCTTTCAAGACTATCAATGAAAAAATATCCGTCAGGGGCCCATACCTAAATACACTGAGATGGCAGTCATCCAAAAGCGTAAGCCCACCCCCTGTGTGTGTACAAGACAATTTATCTCTTACCTTTATAGCACCTTGATAATCCCCATCAAAGTTATAGAAATGTTGTAGTTTAGTAGATGGTGACTGACTAGCAGTGGAATCCATCAGGACGATAATTTGATCCTTTTTGAGGACTTGTCAACTCAATGAACCTACATTCCCCAGTCAGTGAGTGATGGTGTTCTGCCCCCAACCCCACCCTCGCTAAGGTTCAAACCCAGTAGCCATAGTTTCAAACACTCCAAAGCGTTTTCCACTAGACCACTTGGGTCACTAGAGCTATCCACCTCTTGCGCAACGCGTAACAGTTATTTTCTAAATCGAGTCGGACTTTTCCCTTGATTGTGTGGACAGAAGTGATAGGCCTCTGTTGACATGTCGGCTCCTTTAGCGATAGCTTCGGTGATGTCTGCTGAATTAACCTGACGTAATTTGGTGTCATTCTGGTCACCACACAACCGATTACGTCAGGTTAAATCATCAGACATCGTCGAAGCTATCACTAAAGGAGTCGACATGTCAACAGAGGCCGAATGTACTTTGCTCCAATCAACAGGGAAGTCCAAATTGAATTATATCATAAAAAATGATGCATTCATCTATGAATTTTAAAGACGAATAATCGAATTTTCTTTTAAAAAAAAGCCTTATGAATCATAAATAACCTTATATTGATAAATATCAGGAGTTACTAATGAGATAAGTGGAGGTTTCAGTTTCAGAATACGCTAACGGGATATACAGACCGGTGTGCCAAATAGTATTTTGTAGAAAGTATGGCTAGAATTCGTGCGTCGGTGGCATAGTGGTTAGGGCGCTCGCCGACCATGCACATGGTTCCGGGTTCGATCCCCGGCCACAAACGCACTCCTTTACCACGCTAAGCCAGAAATAATGCTGGTGAAGAGGAAAGGTTGGGCATGAGGCTAGCAACTCCATCCTGTAAAATAAGCACTGCTACAGAAACTTCAAGCCCCTAGCTTGAAGCCCTATGTTCCACTGCGGAACGTGAAGGATATAAAAAATGACTAGAATTTATACTACTACTTATAAGTAGCTGGAGAATTACTTAGAAAGAAATGATAATGAAAAACATGAACCAGCTAACATCTAATGATGTCGGAAGTCAAAGCAATAACTTGCATAATAGCCGAAGTCAAACCAATGGTGTACGGACTAACGTGTATCAAAAAAAACATGCATAAATTGATAGTTGATCCAAATCTTGTCAGAGTTTTTTTTACTTCTTTACGTTCCCAGTGGAACATAGGGATCTAAGTTAGAGGCCTGAAGTTTCTGTAGCAGTGATGTTTATTTTTTACGGGATGGGGTTGCTAGCATCATACCCAACCTACCTCCTTTACAAGTCTAATTACTGGCTTAACGAGATAAAGGAGGGAGTCTGTAACCGGGGATCGATCTCCGGACCACATGAGGCGTGGTCGGCAGGCCTTCTACCACTGCTGTGCCACCGACGCAAGTCTCGTCAGAGTACCCGACTCAATATAACAAAATCTCAAATCATTCCATTATAAAAAGATTTAAACCAGAATGCCCTCAGCAACAACAACACCAACAAACATCACAATCATAATAAGTATGTAATCGTTAGTAAAAGTTCACATGCACACATACATACATACATAAACACATACATAAACTTACTTGATCCATCTGATATATTTAACATTGGTAAATTCAACGGGATAAAATGTTCATGTTCACAGATACTACGTAACAATTCAAAACGTAACTCATTCAATTGATCAATTTTATCAACAGGCTAAAAATAAAACAATAATAATAATAATGCAATTTGAGATCAGCGCGATCAACTATACACCAAATGTGTTCATATATATATTTGTCAAAATGAAAGTAGAGAATACCGTATGACTGGTTAAGTTTTTAGTAGGTGTAACAGGACTCAGTGCGTCGGCGGCACGGCGGTAGAATGCTCACCGACCACGCAGATGGTTCGGGGTTCGATTCCCGGCCATAGATACACTCCCTCCTTCACCTCGCTACACCAGTAATAAGACTGATTAAAAGGGAAGGTAAGGCATGAGGCTAGCAAACCCGTAAAATTATACACCACTGCTACCGAAACTTCAGCGCTATAGATTGAAGCGCCTTTGTGTTCCACTGGGAACTTAAAGGAATAAAAAAATTATCATCTTATTCCTTTGCAGTCCAAGTGGAACATAGTACTTCAAGCAAGAGATTCGTAGTTCAGGCAGTAGTGGGTTTTTTATTTTTACGGGGTAAGGCTGCTAGCCTAACTCACACCCGACCTTCCCCTTTATGGGCCTACATACCAAGTTAGTGAGGTTAAGGGTTGCGTCGGCCGAGGATCGTACCCGCGACCACGTGGGGCATGGTTGGTGACCGTTCCACCGCTGAACCGCCGATGCACAAAAGTGCTCCTGTGCCGCCTGCTTGAAAGCCAGGAATCCTAACCGCTATATTATATATATAATTAACTGTTATAGTAGGAGGTATCATCTACCAGAATACAAAACGGGCAGTGTACAAAGATATACACAAAGATGTACGTTCCCTCACATTTAACTTGTAAGAGGTGTTGAATAAAAACTGGAAAGAATTATCGGTACAAAATACAGGAAATCAATGTATAAATAACAGAAATTGCATGACAAATTTATCTCGGATATAAAAATAATTCAGTTTAACCTCATGACATCCATTCGTGAAGGTTAAAAACTACTGTTTAGTGTGCTCAGTTAGTTTGGTTGTGCAATAGTTGACTTTTTTAAGTAACGGAAGTACAACAAAGTTGAATCACTTTTATTATTACTGTTATTATTATTACTGTTCCTTTAAAAATTCAAAACAAGAGATATGAAACATGGTGAAGAGTAAGCAGTATCACGTTATAAAACTCTGAATTAACTGAGTGAGGAAATATTTTCTGTATCCCACTCATTTGAGTTGTGTACAGGCGACTGCTTAGTCAAGTTGATATTAGAATCGAAAAATCTCAACGGGAAGGTGAAACAGACTGTTAGTAGAGAGACTAATAAAATGCTTAAAATGTAGACAAAAATGAGACATAAAAATATTTCAATTCCTATTAAAGCTTCGATTTGTAGGGACTTGATTTGTCACAGGATTTCATCATGAGGTGACATCGGCTAAAGAATCACTGGAAAGTATAGGGATACTAGACAACCGTTTCGTCATAGTTCGAGACTCTTCAGAAGTATCCATCAAAACGCCAGGGTTGGAACCCAAGGCCTTCCGGTTACAAGGCGAGCGGGCTCGTAGACCATTCAGCAGCAACCGAGACCCGATCCAATGTCCAGTTCATGAATTCCAACTTCGGCCAGTTCACGATATGGAGTGACCACTAGCCGATGTCATCGGTGGTGAGTACTCGTCCTCACATCCGACCTGCTGTACCTTACTAGTCACGACTTCCTACTAGAACTCAGGTACCTAACTACCTATTGTGAGTCACTGGATCAAGCAACGGATTTTAAACCAGAGGATTACAGTTCGAGATGCTGCTCCATCTACTGAGGTTCCGGAAACCAGACAGACTTTAATATACATCTTGCTTGCGGAATATTAGACATACACGCATAAAAACCCAAGGAGGCTTGTGTATAGGTAGAATCAACAGCCAGTGACTCCATATTGACTGATTAATAACCCCATCTTTCCATTAGACAGCTTTAAACATCACAGTGAAAAATAATTTAATGCGGCTGTACAGCAAATGCTCAGTTATCTCCCATGACTGATAAAATAGACTAGATTTTTCAATATTATACACATGATGATTTCACGGTAGAATGCTGCCTCCAGCCGCCACGTAGAAGGTCCGGGTTTGATTCGCAGCTAGCGCACTTCTAAACCTTGCCCCCACTTGGGGCAGTAAGCCCTGGAAGGAAAGAGATAAGCTTGGGCGTGAGTGAGACTATCAATGCCCTGTTTGTAAAAACAACATCACTGGTGGCACAGTGGTTAGGACTCTCGCTGACCATGCATATAGTCCGGGGTTCGATCCCCTGCCGGCGCACACCCGATATCTATGTCGGCTGTAAATTTGGCTACCGATATCATGCTGAAATTCCATACTTGTACTGAAAATACGGTGTGGAATCAAGTTGTAATCAAAATAAAAATAAAAATAATACTGAAAATGTAGACCTTTAGGCTTTATCAGGAAAAAAAGAGCACACTTACCATTCTTGGTGAGATTTCAAGAAATGTTAGTAGATCACGAACACGTTTCAATACATATCCTCGATCCATTAAATTGAATAAATGTCCTAAAAATTTTCCCATTGCATTAATGACATCAATTCGATTAAAATTGAAAACATCATTACTGGTATGTTTTGTAAGCAGACTTTGTCTGTTGACTGACTCTCCGAGTGAATTTTTCGGTGCTACCGACTCACTGACACTGGTGCATTTACTTGTCTGTGAAGTACTCAGTGAAACTGATGACTCCGTTTTTAACAGCTGTCCACTTGATGATATTATGCATAGTGGAGTGGTGGTATGAGTGGAACCACCACCAGTAGTAGCTGACAATGGCATTGCTGAACAATCATTATTTTTATTTAAAGGATTGCGTAATGGTGTTGTATTACCAAAAGAGGATAATAAACGTGAGCCAATCAGTTGAATGAATATAGTCAGATCTTCACAGAATAACGATGAAAAACGTGAGTCACCAGACCTTTCAGCCTAGACGAAAAAAGAAAAAGTAATAATAATAGTAAATACCATTCGTTTTGTCTACTCATCACCATGTAAGCAGAGTAAACAATAAAAAAAGACTTCAAGCGGCTAATTACTGGGGAATCGTGATCGGTGGGACGCACCAATTCGGGTGTGACATATTCTTGCCAATGGCATTGGATGGAGGTGACTCTTTACGGAGTATTGAGAAGAGTTAGAATTCGCGGGTCATTGCCTGAATGGTGAACACCTAGACGAAGAGAAATGTCAATTGATGAGGTTGACAAGTTCCCTCCATTTAAATGGTTAGGTCATGGTACTAACCATCTCGAGACATCCCCTGCCTAGTCGACCAATGTCGAATGATGTAGGATAAGGAGAAGTGCAGACTACCTGGTTTAGGTCCTCGAAACGTTAGGAATTAAAAGCTGGAGACTATTGATGGTATGGCTGAAAATAATTTTCAGTGGCGCAGATGTATTCACACCTTTTGTGATCTCCAGGATACATCAGATCTTCATTGATTCTTCATATAATTATTCCTTCTGCAGGAAAAATCTGCTTATTGTGGTTTTTTTAGATTTATTTTCACTCTACCTGTGTGTGCTATATGAAGTGTAACAACTTGAACTACTTGTATCCTGAAGTCCCACCTTTTATAGCCATGATGAGTTCTTGGGTGTACAAACTAGAATGCCAAAGATCTATAGAGTGCTCCATGGCTTTCAATGGTTTTTTAACTGTTGTCAATTCCTGACTAAGTCTAACCTAAAACAGATCAAACCTCTCATGAACGCTTCAACCAGTATTATTATTATTATCATTATAACCTATTTTATTCCCTTTGGTTCCAAGTGGAACATACAGGGCTACAACAGCACATCTCCATTTCGCCCTATTCTCTGTAGTCCTAGTCATTTATCACCCTATAAGCTTTCATCTCCTCCTCCTCCTCGGCAAACGATCTCCTCCATGACAACCACGGACACATGTCCAACTTGTCGTTTCCCCCTCATTCGACGGTCTCCTCAGCTTGTGCCCTATAACATCCCCATTCTCTTCAGAATATTTATTGAGCAATAGGTTCTTGATTCAATCATCTTTAGAGTTTCTTATTGGCTAATTCTTTCTGGCCAACAATTTGATCATCATTATAAAGTGAAGGCAGTATATGTTCATTGAGATTATTATAATCCCTCCAATACGTATTCCCATGAAATACACAAGATGTAGACATAAAATAGCACCTCATGTGTGCGCTTAAATCAACTCCATCATCTGTGGCTAAAAGTTATTAATAGAATTTTTCCTGATTAAAATGCCCATTAAAATTTTCAAAAGAATGGACACGGAACAAAGAGTACTCTTTTCGATAATTCTTCATCAGCAGGCTCTACAGTTATATATACATTATAGTGAATGAATGAATTAGTCTTATGAACGACATTAATGTTGCTTAAATAACATCAAATCAATAATACTGATAGATTACAGCTGAACAGCATCAACATAAAATAAACTGAATGTCAGAAGAATTAGGAAAGGTAATAATGCAGAATTCATGAATTTATAGTCTCTACTGAAGGCCAGGGTAGTAGTAGGGGCTGGACTTGCTTCTTTTGGACACAGAGTACTGGTTGTTTGAGGCGAACTGCAATATCCTCTGCTGTTTATAGCATGCGGTGCTTCGACGATTTTGGTAATTTACAGACAAGAAGCCTTTATATATTCGACTAAAATTCAAGGGCGATATACCAAGCGAGATAATTATGAAGAAATTAAGAAAATCAGTTCAAAGAACTTTTAATGCTGGCAAACTACACGTATTATTCTCTACACAACCGATGATGCTATCTCGACTGAAAGATGAAGTACCTAGACTAGCCACTTCTAATTGTATCTAACAATTCAACTGCGCTTGTGGAGCGAGTTAGATTAGCCGTTGCTCTAGAAACTTGATTTTTCGTGCTCGAGAACATATCCCACTATGGCTAAGTAAAGGTGTAGTTAAAACTATTAACAGCTCGATATTAGACCATCTGGTGCAAACCGGTCACAAAGTCAGCGTAGAAGAATCCTTCTCTATCATCTACCGGGTGCCTTACAAATTACCAAAATCGTCGAAGCACCGCATGCTCCAAACAGCAGAGGCTATTGCAATTCGCCTCAAACAACCAGTACTCTGTGTCCAAAAGAAGCAAGTCCAGCCCCTACTACTGCCCTGGCCTTTAGTAGAGACTAAAAATTTATGAATTTGTAATATTATCTTTCCTAATTCTTCTGACATTCAGTTTATTTTATGTTGATGCTGTTCAGCTGTAATTTATCAATATTATTGATTTGATGTTATTTAAACAACATTAATGTTGTTCATAACACTAATTCATTCATTCACTATAATGTAAATATAACTGTAGAGCCTGCTGATGAAGTTATCGAAAAGAGTACTCTTTGTTCCGTGTCCATTCTTTTGAGAATTTTTCCTTTTGAAAGAGAATGGAGGCTGAATAAATGAGCGAAATCTAACATATCCTGGAAATTACTATATCAAAAAGTCTATGCATAAATGAAGCTGTTCTCTAGGAGAACGAAAGTTCTGCAACTAAATCAACACCAGCTTAGAGAACACAATTAAAAGAAAAAGAAAAAAACATCGCAGTTTATTATTATTATTTACTAATGTTATTTAAAGACTTGATACTAAAGATATCGACTAGTTTTGGAGTAATCCACTAGAGGATTAAGTGAAACTTGATAATTAACTGATTTTAGTAGAGGACTTACAATTTTTCGGGTCCGACATTCTAGCACTTCCCTCTCTCTACTGGGAGAGAGAGACAGAAAGTAGCACAGCTTGCTGGCTTGGTGAGCTCCCGAAGAAATAAAAACCTTAGTGTTATTAAACCCATATTCGTCAGCAGTACGCCTTCCCCACACCTTAGACTTCAACAGAGTGTAGTCTAATCCACAGGCAAACAACTTTTATGGTGAGGGTAAATTAAACAAACAATATAAAAGCATACAAGATGAACAGATACATAAATAAATCAATAAATCAATAAACTTACCCATATCTTTTTACTTATACATAAATATTGTGTCATTGATTTGACAATTAATGCTAGCGAAAACCATATATTATCAAATAAATGGGTTAATATATGTCCAGGACAATGTGTATCCCACAGGACTAGAATTAAACCACGTATTATGGAATGATGCAGAGAGGATAGAGGAAAGTATTGATTAACTATTGATTTTCTTGAAGGTGATGATGATGCTGTCATCAGCGGCGTTGCCACATTGGTTCTACTGTCAATGACTACATTTTTCGTGTCTGTAATACTTTGTTCCTTATCATTCAAATAATGATTGATACATGTTGTCAATAATTGATCCGGGTTAAATGCAAACTGTAAAAAGATAAATGGGAGGGAGGGATGAAGAGAAGATAAAAACAAATTTAAAAGAAAGGAAAGGAAAAATCAGGATAAACCGAGAACAAAGTTAGATATTAAGTCAAAAAGCTTCGCTAACAAAACGCAATTAAGGTCAGAGATTTGACAATCATATTGATTATCCGTCTACTGATCGATCGATTTGTTATGATCAAACCTAAAGAAAAAAACAACATAAATATTCTATCCCTAGTTTTGACCTTTTCCTCTTATCTCTACTATTGCCAGATTTATAGATAATCATATATATACTGTACACACCTTAATTTACACAAGGATGCTAGCATAGGCCTTGATTTACAAAAATATATTTGGTAGCAAAGCTTCGATTTCAGTCAAAAGAAGGTTAGGTATAATCAAGCAGTTCAGGCGTTATTATTTATTTAAACACAAAAAACTTGTTACAATATGCCACCAAGAAGATGTGCCACACAATAATAATAAAACAACATAGATTAAAAGTAAAAAATATAGGTGGAGAACGGATTAAAGAACTTCATCAGGAAAGAAAACAGCAAACAGTATTCGTCAACTATCAACGGGAAAGGGAAGAAAGAAGGAAACTGCATCTTGTTCACCATTGATTGAGATTCTTGGACATATTCAATAACGTTTCGATATATCTCTCGGACCCCAATCAGGGAGTTGTGACGCACCAACCCATTTTAAACCATCACAAATATTCTTCATCCCACGACTCCCCCATCATGGGCTGACCACCTCTCCACTTTTTCCATCCCGTCCCAGGGTTAGCGGACAGAGACCAATACGGAAGTCTCTGGGATGACATTCGCAGCGTATGTCCCAGACACTGGAGCCAGTGTTTCCAGATGACAACACTCAACGAATGGTAATTTCCACTATGTACAAAAAAACTCTGCCGGACCTCAGAATTACTCACATGATGATACCATCGAACGCAAGCAATTCTACGGAAACAACGGTAATCTAATACGCAGAGTCGGCGGACACTCTCAGCTCGGAAAGACCAGGTCTCACAGGCACAGAACAAAACAATGTGCACGGAAGCATTGTAAACACGACGTTTGACAGCCAAACTAATACCGCAACGGCACCAGGAGTGGCTGAGGTTGAGGTGCGCCACCCTAGCTTTTATGTTGAAGCCGTATGTTCTATTCGGAACTCCAGGGAATAATAACAATAATAATAAAATTTTTGAAATGATTCTCTCTTAACAAATGCAGACAGTAACATAGTATCTAAGCTTTACTGACAAACAGATGAAACAACTAGCGATGCTTAGAATTTCAATGATTGAAAGTGGATACATCTGCACATCAAACAGTCCCTAACTAGTAATTTGAGTTTTAATATCTTGAATATTCCAGCTCATAAACAGCCGACACTTCTTCACATGGATAGATGAAATGAACAGTCAGAGGTTTCACGAATAATCCAGTGTCATATTTTTGGTTTCATCATGTCCATCACCTTCCTTCCTTAATCTTACTTCAGTCAAAGCTCTTCATTGCGAAAGCAAGTGGCCCAACATCCTCAACACACAATATAACAAGATAAATCGATGAAAGTTTAGGTGGTAAGTTTAAGCTACTCATTAGTAATAAAAGTCAATCGCAATAAAGATTGCATAATATATGATACTACTCGATAGAAATTATAGTAAGTAATCCTACTTACCTCAACATAAGTTTTTAATAAATTATGCTTCAAACGATCACTGCAAGCTGATGTATTCGATTCAACTAGACCATCAGAACAGGATAGATCATTCGTTGACTTCAATGGATAGTATGATGTGTCATTTGGAATTTGAGCATTCAATTCAGAAATAAGGATTGCCAGAGTACTAGTTTTGAATAAAACAAGACAAGACACAGAAAAAGAAAACAAGAACAATGTTAGAATCCAGGAAAATTATCATATTTGAAAAGCGAAGTTGAGAAGTGTGATGAAATATGCAGAATTCTCAGTACAGTACAGTACAGTACAGTACAACAGTATATGTTAAGCGTGGAGTTTCCCCACGCAGGTTCAAATGCTAATCGCAGTGTGGTGATTTCAATCTAATAAGGCTGTTCGTCAACCTCACTGTTGATCGACGCATCAATCTGCTGTGCACAACATCTCAATGTCACCTCTCCAAGTAGGACATCAGTGTCACCTTAGTGTCAACTCACTACGAAACTTCCTGTGCAGTCTGTCCATCTCCAATCGAGCTGCGTTCCATCTAATATCATCAAATCAATGTGCACCGTGATGGCGACCTACCTAGAATGATGACAACATTGCAAACCTGGCTGACTGATAGAATTCAGTGTTCAATCAAAGTACAGTGCATCTGTGGCACAGCGGTTAGGACACTCGCCGACAATGCACATGGTCCGGGATTCGATCCGCAGCCACAGACACACTCCTCTACCTCGCTAAGTCAGAAATAATGCCAGTGAAGAGGAAAGGTTGGGCATGAGGCTAGCAACCCCATCCTGTAAAAAATAAACACCACTGCTACAGAAACTGCAAACCTCTAGCTTGAAGCCCCCTATGTTCTACTGGGAACGTGAAGGAATAAAAATCAAAGTACAAAAAGCTGATGTCTAGCATTTCTATATGAAGTATAAGGAATTTGTGAAGGCTACGTGTATTTGACCCCGATTACTTCCGTTTACTGTATCTATTAAAAGAACGGTGCAAAGGTTAAGAATAATCGCTTACGTATGGAACGGTATACGACTTAGTTAAGGCCTACACAACTACTTTTTATTTTTATTTTTTCCTTCACATTCCCCAATGGAACATAGGGCTTCAAGCTAGTGGCTTGAAGTTTCTGTAGCAGAGCTTATTTTACAGGATGGGGTTGCTAGCCTCATGCCCAACCTTTCCTCTTCACCAGCATTATTTCTAGCTTAGAGATGTAAAGGAGTGCGTCGGCCAAGGATCGAAACCCGGACCATGTGCATGGTCAGCGAGCGTCCTAACCGCTATGCCACCGACGCACCACACAACTACTAGCATTCTTCAAATTTTTATTATTTTATTTTCATCTTGGCTTGTAAACGTGCAATACGGTATTCCGAGTCAACAACACACAATAATGCTAGTCCCTATGATGTTGTTACTGACATAAGACAAACGGTTAGTTGTATTAACATTGTAGTTCACTGTAAGTGTTGTAACCTAAATAATTGATGGTGATATTACCGGACAACGCACACACACAAGCACATAAATGGACATTTTAAAATTATAACGGGCGAATATATGTATGTATATTTAAAACAAATTAATGACCAGCTATCTGTCTATAGGACACATGCTGTAAAATGATCACACTTATCTGTGATTGATTAATTGATTGACTAATTATTTGATCGATTCACCAAATCATAATTATAGGGCAAAAGGTAAAGCGTGTATAGGAAGTTTAAAAATTAGACACGTGATTATGATCACAATAAAAAAAGCTATTATATTAATATAATTAAGGCAATATTTTTAAAAAAAGTGAATGTATTTCAATGTGATGATAGTACGGTGCGGCGCGTTACTGACGATAACTCATAATATTCAAGTATTGGTTTGTAGGGATTTGGTTGGTTACAGGATTTTCATCATGAGCTGACATTGGTTAGAGAACCATTGGAAAACCTGGGAGTACTGAACAGCTGTTTCGTCCTAGTTTGGGACTCTTCAGAAGTACGCACCCACCGGGGTTCAAACCCAGGACCTTCTGGTTACAAGACGAGCGAGCTCGTAGACCATTCAGTAGCCACTGGGACCCAATCCAATGGCCCATGAATTCTAACTTCTGCCAATTCACGATATAGCGCAACCGCCAGCCATTGTCTTCGGCGAGTATTTGTCCTCACACCCAACCTGCTGCACCCTACTGGTCACGACTTCCCGGTGGGTGCGTACGGATGAAGAGTCGCAAACTAGGACGAAACAGCTGTTCAGTACTCCCAGGTTTTGCACTGGTTCTCTAACCAATGTCAGCTCATGATGAAATCCTGTAACCAAATAACTCATAAGTTGTACATCGTAGGTGGAATCTTCTACAATAATCTTGAGGAGTAAAGAATTTAGGGGAAAATAGGAGAGATGAAATGTCCTCTTGAAAGGTGAGGTATAGGTTCCAAGAAAACCTCCCAATTTCTCACTGGAGTCCTCATTAATTGGAAGAGACCGGTTTCCGTACATAAATTTGTCGAGATAACTGTAAGCCATCGTGTTTCTCGACCCGTTCACAACTCGGATCCTCTATTTGAGATCACTCCAGAAATTTTCGATGGAATTTGTGTGTCACATCGAAAGGATTAACGAAATCGAAGGACTAAACATTGGTCCTACGATCAAGGATCGTCTGGATATATGCTATGCTCAGGCTAGTGTTACATAATCTCAGAACCCACTGTCGATTGGCACTCAATCTATCGCAATTGTATTTCCTTTTTATAAGCACTGTCCCGCCCACATTAAAAAATCACACAGATACCACTGAGTATCTGGGTCATATTGTTCATTTTACATGAAGTTCTATATCTACAGTACAGAGAAGCTACTGTACTGGATACACTTGTGAATTCTCCGTTTCGAATACCGTCACGGTAACTGATCTTTTCAGGACCCAGTTGTGACACATCATCATAACTCTCGTTAACAGTAACTTTGATTTAGCGAAGAAAGTAGCTACAGTATCCATAAACTAAAAATAGAGAGGCATATGTCCTCGAACTAATTTCTCTGCTTCGGTAGTCTTCGCATCTGTACACAAACCCATCAGTGTAGCCGGTGGTGTATCTTTGCAAATACATCACACCTCCACATTCAAACATCCCCTCTCTTCTAGTGAGTTTGTTGTCTAAAAAGTACGTAAATACTAGATTTGGATGAAATTCGCTGTTATCCGTGGAAAGAATAAATAATTCCGCTTATACACTAAAGGCTCATCTTATTGGTTGCTCAAGGTCATTAATCCGTTCAATTAGGTATTTTCGTCTTGGGCTGTTATAGTTTACAGTTACTGGACTGATCACCAGCTGACATCAGTTAGAGGACTATTGGAAATACAGGGAATATTGGATAGCTGTGTCTGGATAGCCTATAAGTTCACGCTGTAACCGGAAGGTCCTGGGTTCGAAACCCAAGGAAGAAACAGCTGTCCAATACTTTCTGGTTTTCTAACTGATATCAGCTTGTGGTAAAACCTATAACCAATCAAATCCCTACAAACCAACCAACACTTGATAATTGTTCTTATTGCATCATTCAAATTTGTCAGGCTAACTAAGTGTATGAAGACCAAAAAATAAGAATAATACGAATAAATCTTATAGATGTTAATTTCATTGTAAGGTTTCTGTGTGTTTACCATGACTGTACATCATTTCGCAAAATAAATAATAATTCCGCCACAGAATACCAGTGTGTCCGACTATAAAACCGGTGCTAATTGTATCAAATTCCGGAGGACATGTTTACCCGAAAAACTTAATGCTGAAACCTAGTTACCGAGAGACTTGCTAACGGGATGTTTATTTGGCAATTTGATATCTCTATATACACCTTTATGTACACCTTATCTTCAAATCACGCCTTCACACAGATCTTCCGTGTTGTGTTTGTTACTTCTACCCTTCGTATTATGTTTCATTGTCATCTTTTCGTGTCTCTCATGTTTTCGCGTAATAGACTCGGAAAAGCAAGACAAGCTTTCACTACTCTCAAGTCTGTGTGGAGGTCAACAGCACTCAGCATGAAAATGAGAATAAGATCCGGATTTTCAACTCCAATGTGAAGTCAGTGCTAATCACTATACGGATCAGAGACTTGCACTGCGCGTCATAAAGAGCATCTCAAACAAACTACAGACCTTCATTAACAGTTGTCTTCGCTCAATACCACTCAAGATCAGATGACCAGACGGCCAGAAAAGATCAGCAACAGGGAGGGATCTCTGGTAATGAGCGAACCAACCAACCCAGCAGGAACCGATTGTGAAACAGCTAGGCAGGAAGAAATGGAGATGGATTGGCTGGCCATACTCTGAGGAAACAATCCATCAAGTGACATCACTAGACAAGCCATTGCTCGAGTGGAACCCGAAAGGGAAGCGGCGAGTCGGTCGTCAGTGTAAGGGTGACTTGGAAGAGGTAATGTGAAGAGGAGATGAAAACGTGTGGGCAGACTTGGAGCCAGGTGAAGACTCTAGCAGAGAAGCGAACGCAATGGAGACGCACGGCTGAAGCCCTATGTTCCCCTAGGAATTAAAGGAAATAATAATAATGATAACAATACTCCTTCATTTCCTCTCTCTATGATATCAAGTCTATCTCTCCGAAGTTTTATATTTTTGTGCTGATGAACATCTCTTGATATACTACTGATAAAACGTGTCAGTAGCACACGGCAGAGTATATTTAAACACTCCTGATTTGAAGCAATATTTTCAATCATACATAATTCATAACTGTATTGTATTATCTAGAATTCACGGATAAAAGTAAATTTAAAATGTATTAATGTAACTGTAGTATTAGTCAAAATCATTTCATTTATATCGGAGTATGTGTTAGAAACTGCCAGTTACAACTACAAAAATGTTCCGTTTTTCCGACAGGACTGTGTTAGGCAGATTGAAAGGTGAGTGGGTAAAGCATGCATGACTCATCAAATCAGAACAAAGGCATACAAAAATTATCCGGTATGCGACAAGCAGAGCTTATTGGAATGAATGATCACGTGAACATTTCTTCCAATCAAGTGACAGTAAATTTGCTTTGTTTTTTTAAATGTACAATATTCCCCACCCTTATGAAGCTGAATAAACAAAAAAAACTTGCCATTATT